GTAATGGTGGTGGTGGTGGTGTTGGTGCTGGTGATGGCGGTGGTGTTGGTGCTGGTGATGGTGGTGGTGTTGGTGCTGGTGATGGTGGTGGTGTTGGTGCTGGTGATGGTGGTGGTGTTGGTGCTGGTAATGGTGGTGGTGTTGGTGCTGGTAATGGTGGTAGTGTTGGTGCTGGTAATGGTGGGTAGTGTTGGTGCTGGTAATTGGTGGCGTTGGTGCTGGTGACGGTGGTGGTGTTGGTGCTGGTGATGGTGGTGGTGTTGGTGCTGGTAATGGTGGTGGTGTTGGTGCTGGTAATGGTGGTGGTGTTGGTGCTGGTAATGGTGGTGGTGTTGGTGCTGGTGATGGTGGTGGTGTTGGTGCTGGTGATGGTGGTGGTGTTGGTGCTGGTAATGGTGGTGTTGGTGCTGGTAATGGTGGTGGTGTTGGTGCTGGTAATGGTGGTGGTGTTGGTGGTGGTGATGGTGGTGGTGTTGGTGCTGGTAATGGTGTGGTAGTGTTGGTGCTGGTAATGTGGGTGGTGGTGGTGGTGCTGGTGATGGTGGTGGTGTTGGTGCTGGTAATGGTGGTGGTGTTGTTGCTGGTGATGGTGGTGGTGTTGGTGCTGGTGATGGTGGTGGTGTTGGTGCTGGTAATGGTTGGTGTTGGTGCTGGTAATGGTGGTGGTGTTGGTGCTGGTAATGGTGGTGGTGTTGGTGGTGGTGATGGTGGTGGTGTTGGTGCTGGTAATGGTGGTAGTGTTGGTGCTGGTAATGGTGGTGGTAGTGGTGTTGGTGCTGGTGATGGTGGTGGTGTTGGTGCTGGATGGTGGTGGTGGTGGTGGTGTTGGTGCTGGTGATGGTGGTGCTGGTAATGGTGGTGGTGTTGGTGTTGGTGTTGGTGCTAGTAATGGTGGTGGTGTTGGTGCTGGTAATGGTGGTGGTGTTGGTGCTGGTAATGGTGGTGGTGTTGGTGCTGGTGATGGTGGTGGTGTTGGTGCTGGTAATGGTGGTGGTGTTGGTGCTGGTAATGGTGGTGGTGTTGGTGCTGGTGATGGTGGTGGTGTTGGTGCGCTGGTGATGGTGGTGGTGTTGTTGTTGGTGCTGGTGATGGTGGTGGTGTTGGTGCTGGTAATGGTGGTGGTGTTGTGCTGGTGATGGTGGTGCGGTGTTGGTGGTGGTGTTGGTGCTGGTAATGGTGGTGGTGTTGGTGTTGGTGTTGGTTAGTGGTGGTTGGTGCTGGTGCTGGTGGTGGTGTTGGTGCTGGTGATGGTGGTTGTGTTGGTGCTGGTAATGGGTGGGTGGTGTTGGTGCTGGTAATGGTGGTGGTGGTGTTGGTGCTGGTGCTGGTGTTGGTGCTGGTGATGGTGGTGGTGTGTGTTGGTGCTGGTGATGGTGGTGGTGTTGGTGTTGGTGCTGGTGTTGGTGTTGGTGCTGGTAATGGTGGTGGTGTTGGTTGCTGGTAATGGTGGTGGTGGGTGTTGGTGCTGGTGCTGGTGCTGGTGTTGGTGATGGTGGTGGTGGTGGTGTTGGTGCTGGTGATGGTGGTGGTGTTGGTGTTGGTGCTGGTGTTGGTGTTGGTGCTGGTAATGGTGGTGGTGTTGGTGCTGGTGATGGTGGTGGTGTTGGTGCTGGTAATGGTGGTGGTGTTGGTGCTGGTAATGGTGGTGGTGTTGGTGCTGGTGATGGTGGTGTTGGTGCTGGTGATGGTGGTGGTGTTGGTGCTGGTAATGGTGGTGGTGTTGGTGCTGGTAATGGTGGTGGGTGTTGGTGCTGGTAATGGTGGTGGTGTTGGTGGTGGTGATGGTGGTGGTGTTGAGTGTGTGGTGATGGTGGTAGTGTTGGTGCTGGTAATGGTGGGTGGTGGTGGTGTTGGTGCTGGTGATGGTGGTGGTGTTGGTGCTGGTAATGGTGGTGGTGTTGTTGCTGGTGGTGATGGTGGTGTTAGTGCTGGTGATGGTGGTGGTGTTGGTGCTGGTAATGGTGTTGAGGTGTTGGTGCTGGTAATGGTGGTGGTGTTGGTGCTGGTAATGGTGGTGGTGTTGGTGTGTGGTGATGGTGGTGGTGTTGGTGCTGGTAATGGTGAGTGTGTGGTGCTGGTAATGGTGGTGGTAGTGGTGTTGGTGCTGGTGAGTGGTGGTGGTGTTGGGTGCTGGTAATGGTGGTGGTGGTGGTGTTGTTGGTGCTGGTGATGGTGGTGCTGGTAATGGTGGTGGTGTTGGTGCTGGTAATGGTGGTGGTGTTGGTGTTGGTGTTGGTGCTAGTAATGGTGGTGGTGTTGGTGCTGGTAATGGTGGTGGTGTTGGTGCTGGTAATGGTGGTGGTGTTGGTGCTGGTGATGGTGGTGGTGTTGGTGCTGTGGTAATGGTGGTGGTGTTGGTGCTGTGGTAATGGTGGTGGTGTTGGTGCTGGTGATGGTGGTGGTGTTGGTGCTGAGTGATGGTGGTAGTGTTGTTGTTGGTGCTGGTGATGGTGGTGGTGTTGCTGGTAGTGGTGGTGGTGTTGGTGCTGGTGATGGTGGTGGTGTTGGTGCTGGTGATGGTGTGGTGGTGTTGGTGATGGTAATGGTGGTGGTGTTGTGTGTTGGTGTTGGTGCTGGTAATGGTGGTGGTGCTGGTGCTGGTGGTGGTGTTGGTGCTGGTGATGGTGGTTGTGTTGGTGCTGGTAATGGTGGTGTGTTGGTGCTGGTAATGGTGGTGGTGGTGTTGGTGCTGGTGCTGGTGCTGGTGTTGGTGCTGGTGGTGGTGGTGGTGTTGGTGCTGGTGATGGTGGTGGTGTTGGTGTTGGTGTTGGTGTTGAATTGGTGGTGTTGGTGTTGGTGCTGGTAATGTGGTGGTGTTGGTGCTGGTAATGGTGGTGGTGGTGTTGGTGCTGGTGCTGGTGCTGGTGTTGAGTGTTGGTGCTGGTGGTGGTGTTGGTGTTTGGTGCGTGGTGATGGTGGTGTGATGTTGGTGCTGGTGCTGGTAAAATGGTGGTGTTGGTGTTGGTGATAATTGGTGGTGTTGGTGCTGGTAATGGTGGTGGTGTTGGTGTTGGTGCTGGTGATGGTGGTAGTGTTGGTGCGCTGGTGATGTGGTGGTGGTGTTGGTGCTGTGGCGGTGATGGTGGTGGTGTTGGTGCTGGTAATGGTGGTGGTGTTGGTGCTGGTAATTGGTTGGTGGTGGTGCTGGTAATGGTGGTGGTAGTTGGTGCTGGTATTAATGGTGGTGTTGGTGCTGGTAATGGTGGTGGTGTTGGTGCTGGAATGGTGGTGGTGTTGGTGCTGGTAATGGTGGTGGTGTTGGTGCTGGTAATGGTGGTGGTGTTGGTGCTGGATGGTGGTGGTGTTGGTGCTGTGGTAATGGTGGTGGTGTTGGTGCTGATGCTGGTGGTGGTGTTGGTGCTGGTGATGGTGGTGGTGTTGGTGCTGGTGGTGGTGTGGTGGTGTTGGTGCTGGTGATGGTGATAGTGGTGTGGTGTTGGTGCTGGTACGATTGGTGGTGTTGGTGCTGGTAATGGTGGTGGTGGTGCTGGTGTTGGTTTTGGTGATGGTGGTGGTGTTGGTGCTGGTGATGGTGGTGGTGATGGTGTTGGTGCTGAGTGATGGTGGTGGTGTTGGTGCTGGTAATGGTGGTGGTGTTGGTGCTGGTAATGGTGGTGGTGTTAGTGCTGGTAATGGTGGTGGTGAGTGCTGGTAATGGTGGTGGTGTTGGTGCTGGTAATGGTGGTGGTGTTGGTGCTGGTAATGGTGTTAGTGTTGGTGCTGGTAATGGTGTTGTGTTGGTGCTGGTAATGGTGGAGTGTTGGTGCTGGTGGTGGTGTTGTGTGGTGGTGATGGTAATGGTGGTGGTGTTGGTGCTGGTAAAATTGGTGGTGTTGGTGCTGGTAATGGTGGTGGTGTTGGTGGTGGTGGTGGTGGTGGTGTTGGTGCTGGTAATGGTGGTGGTGGTGCTGGTGATGGTGGGTGAGTGTTGGGTGCTGGTAATGGTGGTAGTGTTGGTGCTGGTGATGGTGGTGGTGTTGGTGCTGGTAATGGTGGTGGTGGTGCTGGTAATGTTGGTGGTGTTGGTGCTGGTAATGGTGGTAGTGTTGTTGCTGGTGGTGGTGTTGGTGCTGGTGATGGTGGTAGTGTTGGTGCTGGTGATGGTGGTGGTGTTGGTGCTGGTAATGGTGGTGGTGTTGGTGCTGGTAATGGTGGTGATGCTGGTGCTGGTGGTGGTGTTGGTGCTGGTGATGGTGGTGGTGTTGGTGCTGGTGATGGTGGTGGTGTTGGTGCTGGTGCTGGTGCTGGTGTTGGTGCTGGTAATGGTGGTGGTGTTGGTGCTGGTAATGGTGGTGGTGTTGGTGCTGGTAATGGTGGTAGTGTTGGTGCTGGTAATGGTGGTGGTGTTGGTGCAGTAATGGTGGTGTGGTGGTGTTGGTGCTGGTGCTGGTGCTGGGTGTTGGTGCTGGAATGGTGGTGGTGTTGGTGCTGGTGATGGTGGCTGTGTTGATTATTTGCTTTTGATGTTTTTTCTGTTGTTGTTGTTAATATTATTGTTGTTTTGGTTTATTGTTGTTATTTATTTTTACTTATTCTTGTTGTTTTGTGGTTGTTGTTTTTTGTTGCTGTTTCTGTTGTTGTTAGTATTACAATTTTTTTTTTTTTGCTCTTTATCAATGTTGTTGCGCTGTTTTTTTTAGTTGTTCGTGATATTATCTATTGTTATTGAATCTGTTTATTAGTTATGTTATATTTGGTTTTCAATGTAGTTGTTATTTTGATATTTGCAGTGTTGTTTTGTACTGTTATTGTTACTTAGACAACAGATATTCACTCGTGTTATAAAATAATGTGATTGAATGATTCGAAAACCAACAAGGATATAAACTGTGTTTTCTTTATATTACAGCTTTTAATTCTTCCATTCCCAGATGCCATGTTTGTTTTTTGTATTGCAACTCATCCCTCTTTGGTTAGCGAAGCAACCAATCAGACGACGTTTAATATGGCAACAGGGAACCGCTTTGCCTCATATTTAAACATTCTTTCCCCCCTCACAGCTGACCATCATGTGGACGACTTCGTGGATATGTTGTACCGTAAGCGACCTGATGAGGACTCGGAGAAGAGGCAGGGAGAGTGCGGTCAGTAGCCTTGATATTTACTATTTCGTTATCTAGCTTCAGTAATTTTTGTGATCTAAGGTAAACTAATTCCCTTTGATCAGTTTATTCCTAATAACTGTTACGCAACTCGTATATAATTTGGGGACCACCTGAAGATTAGTCCCCAGTTTACCTCACCTGATGATTAATCCCTTCACTACAGAGACTCTCATTTTAATATTTTCTTTGACTAATGCCAGACGATTTTATTAGCACAGAGAGGACCCCGTATTCAAGAGGTTGAATACCCAAACGCTACCCGGAGGTTAAGTTTAGATTATATTAGATTAGATTAGATTAGATTAGAAAGAAAGGAGCATTAGTTACAAGACTAGCGAGGTCATCCTAAAACTATATCTTGCGCTTGTGAGACCTTACTTGGATTACGCAGTTCAGTTCTGGTCACCGTACTACAGAATGGATATAGAATCCCTAGAAAAATTCAGAGGAGAACGACAAGACTAATCCCGGGCATTAAGAACCATGAGTACAGAGACAGGTTAAAACATCTTAATTTGCACTCCCCCGAGAGACGTAGAGTGAGGGGCGATATGATCGATGTGTATAAATGGAAGTCAAGGCTGATCAAAGGGGATATAACAATGGCACTCAAACTATCCAACCAGGAGTGAACTCGTAGCAATGGTTTTAAATTAGACAAATTTAGATTTGGGCGCGAAATAGGTGGATGAGTGGATGAGTGGAACAAGTTACCAAACATCATCATTAACTCGAATACGCTGGATAGCTTCAAACATAGGTTGGATGGATATATGAGCAATAGGGGTTGGTTGTAAACAGCACTGCCCAGTATGGGCCTATAGGCCCGCTGCAGTTTCCTCCATTCTTATGTTCTTATATTTTTCGTTGCGTTATCAATTGAAACAAAATATTTGAGTCTATATATCATTACCTCCAGAACCTTGTACAGGGATCAGCTGACACACTGTAGTCAGTTTTGAACACCAGCGACTACATCTAGTGTGACAGGAAGAGAGGGAGGGGGGTGTAGGTGTTCAATAAGTTAGTACAATATGTGACAGAGAAGGACATCAAATTTTTGACAAGTGATATTTTTAAAGGTATATACAGTAGTACATTCTCAATAAACCAAAGCTACCAAGAGGTAGAACATCGAACTAAGTCAGATTAATGAAAATTCTAATTAACTGGAGGGTTATTATTATACCAATTCTAACGTTGATTGGGGAATACAATAAATAACTTCCATTCCGTTTTGTGTTTATATTTTATGGGGAATAATTGTAGCCATAAGAAAAGTTCGAATTAACATAATGTTACGATTAACAAGGTCCGGATTATCGGAAGTTTATTAGTGAGTTACTGCATAGTCCTTTTTTTTATTGTAAGAATAAGGTTTAAAGCGACTGCTGGTCTAGAGATGCCCCGGATATAACTAATAAACAGAAGCTGTCAGCGGCTTGTTTACGGCTGTGCACAGGAATTCATTTAATTCTACTCACGTTTAATATGCTTTTGCAGTAACGTGAGGCACAAACATTATTTCATCTAATAAACCGCTTGTAACTCATAAATATTACAGGCCTTCATGTTATCATCTCCGGATTATGCAATAATTAAACACTTTGACTTCGGTAGCGGAATCTAGGATCGCTACATATTCATCATGTTTGAAGTTATCTATGTAACCTTGAGCCATGTGTGGGATTAAAAAAAACACGTATAATTCTAGGATTAAATATTACGTAATGGGTGAGGGAAGGTGACCGAAGGGGGCACTGTCGTCGACCACACACTCTCCTACTCACACGGTAATCTGTCTTAGGCAAAAAAAAATCCACAAAAAACATGACCCCAGGCATTAGAGATCACTTCTTGGTAGCAACCCCATAGAAAAAGTTACTCTTAATTGGGAAAAATCAACACACAGTTAAAACTCCAGCTGTGAGACGAACTTTTTGGGGGATCGACTCTTTTAAGAAAGAGTTTTTATGTTGATATCCATACGAAGGGGCACCTGAAGTGAGACCTGATTCAAATCATCAGGTCATTCATCATCTTCCACTTATATATCGGAATTATCACACGTCATGTAGGGTCTTAGGCCGTGGACCAGGTGCGGCTATTATCAACAGGATGGTTTATTACTTAACAATAGTAGGAGAGGGCGAGATGATGATGGATGATGAGCTGCCAGACCTCCTCCGCCTCCTTGTGTCAAGGATAACTGGTTCTGCCGTGGTAGAAGGGAAGGTGTGAGTCTGTTATGGTTAAGATTAGCTTAAGCGAGGTTAGGTTAGGTGAAATTGTTAGAATAATTACGTTAAAGTGTTAAGTTAGGTTTAGTTAAGTTAAGTTAGGTTAGGTTAATTACTTTAGAGTGTTAGACTATGTGATATTTGGCTAGGTTAGGATAAGCTAGACTATTCGATTAATTTTATTAACAAATTAAATTTGGCTAATTTAAATTACGTTAAACTAACTTAGGTATGATAATCTAGGTTAGATAAACTTAGGTTACACAAGGTAAAATTTTTAGGTAATACTCTAATTACACTTAAGCTATGTACATACGTTCAGGTAAGTCATGTTAAGTTAGCGTAGGTTAATATAGATTATATCCAGGAAGTTAGAAGGCTTAAGTTGCAATACAAAATTTTCTCCAACAACACAATATCTGGTTTACGAAACGAATAGATCGTGGGGGAGACAGAAAAAGCCGACAGTAAACACCTCACTGTGGGTGGCCCCCAGCAACACAGGACTCTGTGGGTCAGGTGTTTAGGTCCAGGTGGCCAGATAGATCAAATAGGGCCAAAGGAAAAAAGTTCCTTAATTAGATTTTCCACAACGTTGAGCCTGACTGTGACCAGGGGACCAGGAGCTCTTAATTACCTTTAATCATAATAACAACATGAAGGGCGACTCGTTATCCGTGACGTGTTTTTGTTGTCGCGTCAGTTGGAGAGTGTTAATATACAGTTCAGGGTCACCGAGAAGGAATGCCCCAATGCCAACTACTGACACCGTAATCAAATTAAGTGACACTGATTATTACAAGGTAATAGTGAGCATGCTTCATGTTCACCTTCATAACATCATAGCCCCAGGATCATATGTCGACGAGCTCAATAGGATGCTTGAAATAAACAACATGCCACAAATGAACTTCCCTGAAAACCCAAACTCAGCAAACTTGTTTCACGCCACCAGCACCCCAGAGCTTGCAAAACACTTCAGTCAACGATTAACCACGCCCAAGGACACAACATCACCAACAGACCAGGATAACATACCGGAAAAAGCGGAACGACCTGGAGATTTGACCGAGAGGGCAAGAGACCCAAGACTGACACAAGGAACGGGAGTGAAAAGGAAATCAGCGGCCAAGAACAATGAAAATGAAATGGAAATCGACTTCCCAACAACAACTTCCCCCCCCCTCCCAGTGCCTGAAGAAGCAGCAGATATAGGACTAAGGTTTTATCAAACCACAAGAATACCATACCCACCACACAGAAAACTCACTGGAAAATTTATCGAAGACTTAGTAACGGCAAACGAAATAATATGGCAATACACAGACGAACGGTATGACAAAGAAACGGTATGGAACATGATTAAAAGAGACAAAATAGAATTCGGCATAAAACATTTTATTGTAATTATGGCAGCTAATCTCAAATGGAAATCATCGGGATTCAACTACAACTCACAAAGAAAAAGAAATAATGGACCATCTCCAATTGAAAACACTTAAAATCCTTCAACACAATGTCCGTGATTGGCACACATGCAAGACATCGCTTTGTAACATATACAATGAAAACAATCCAGATATAATACTAATAAGTGCACACGGCGAACCCGAAAACAACACACACACACACACACACAGTGCAACTTTGTGTGACGCGTTAGGTGGCTTGGGGTGGCTTTGAGCGAACCATACACTTGATATTACAATTTATGTATCCTTCCTGTCCATGATTTACAACAATAACTGTAGGTAAAAAGTTACAATATTATACTAATAACACTGTCATGTATTGACACCATGACTAGTTAGCAAGATACAGAGCACGATGAACATAACATGATAATGATAGTGAAGCCTGGAAGGATTCATATCATAACTTGTGCGTTCGTGCGTATGTTGCCCCGTGAGAGTTACCGTAGGCCTCCATGTGCCCAGGTGGGATGGTCAAAGTATTCAACTATAAGTGTGTCAAATGAGGAGTGACTGATCCACATGTAATTTAAGGTTTTTGAAATATGTAGTTAAATTAAACACGATTTTTCATATAGTTACGCGAATGATGGGGTGTGGTGGAAGCATCGTGGTCTGGCACACACACACAAGCGCTGTAAACGTTGTGTGGACTCACTGTGTGGTTTGGGAGTGTTTATTTCCATTCATACTTTCGTAACTACAACCTATGGTAATTTTCTTTCGTGTTAATTTTAATGAAGATAATGCAGAGTATAAAATGCCATATACAATATTTATACATAATGTCATCTATACAGCCGTACTATGACTGTGTGTGTTCGTGCGTGTGTTGTCCAGAAAGGACGCTGTACTAACCTCCAGCACCGACCCAGGTGGGCTAGAGAATATGGTTTCCGAGTGTACATCCTGGGAGATTTCAATGCAAGACACAGCATCTTTAGCAACAGCAACAATAACCAGATAGGCACAGCATTGGAGCTTATAATCAACACTGGCAGACTACTTCACCTAGGCCCGCACTTCACCACCTGGATGGGACCAAACGGCATTTCAAAACCCGGCAAAATCTTCTGCAACAACAAAGCATTCTTTAACTACCACATAGAGCAAGGCCCATTACCTCAAGCGACCACATTCCGATAATATTCACAATTTCCGCCAGTCCAATTCAAACAAAAATGCCACCAAGGCTCCAGATGAGCAAAACAGACTAGATGAAATATAAGGATTAATTTGAAAACTACCCACAAATATATCTACAAGATGCAACACTCGAGGAAATTAACGAACAGGCAGACAAGCTACACAACACAATAAAATAAGCAATCAACCAGACAACCCTAATAATAACATACAGAACCCTCCTGAGTAATAAACCCAATGCAGATTAAAGAGACTACACGTACAATATAATAACATTTGGACATTTATAGAACAAACGGGGCCCACTAGAGAACTACTCCGTAATATAAGAGAAACTCAACAAGGCCTACAAGAAGAGTACGGACAAATTAATCACGAAAACTGGAACAATCTAATAAAAAACATAGGACTCAAAAAACTTCTGGCAAAACATCAACAAACTTCTTGGCACGAAAAAACAGACAATAAACTACATTAAAGACCAAAACGGATAAAATCTCTGTACATACCATGAAAAAGAAGAGGCCTTCAGAAAATAATGGAAGAAGATCTTCAGAATATCAGAAGAAGAAAATGAAAATTTTGACGAAGAACACGAAGAGTTAATTAAAGACTGGCAAGAGAACAAAGCAATAGACTGACTCCCTACCACACAGGAAACCCAGAAAGACTAAGACTTAATAAATTCATAAATCACGACGAACTACTACACTGCCTACGCAAATTTAGAGAAAAATCCCCTGGAATGAGCGGCATAACCCGAAACATGCTATTAAACCTGCCCATCAGACCAATAGACGCTCTGATAATTATTTACAACTCAACCTTATACGCTGGTTACTTTCCCGATGCCCTCAAGCGGGCAAAAATGATCTTCATTCCCAAAGAAGGCAAGGATCAAAAACAGATAATAAACTACAGACCTATATCCTTACTGGAAATAACCGGGAAACTCTTGGAACGCATACTACAGTAAATACCAGACTAGATAAGTTCCTGGTTAACCACAACAAACTCAACCCAAGACAACACGGCTTTAGAAGAGGTAGAGGAACCCAAACGGCAATAGCAATAATAACAGAAATCACAGCCAAAGAAAAACAGCAAGGAAACCAAGTAAACATAGTCTTAAGAGATGTAGCAAAGATATTTGATAAAGTGTGCACAACGGACTAGCACATAAAATACTAAAACTAGATCTACCTGGAAAAATAGAAAGAATCCTATGTGACTACCTCCAAAACAGGACAGCACAGCTACAAATTGGCAACCAGTTAGGTCCACCCTTCGACCTAGAAAGCGGAGTGCCCCAGGGAGGCGTCCTATCCCCAGCACTATTCTCCATATATACGAGCAACTTACCTGAACCAACGCAACATAGCGAATACATTATCTTTGCCGATGACATCACACAAATGATATCATATCCCGGAAAATCAGAAGCAATGATGGCACGCCATACGGCCTTAGCAATAAAAAACATAAATTACTACAAAAAGAAATACGGACAATCATCAACAAATTTAAACTCATACCAATTGCCAAGAAAAAGATCGAACCAGTAACAGTAGAAGGAGAAATTTACCCATACACCAACGAAGGCAGCATCCTGGGACTGAAAAAAAAAAATGGTTACCAGAGATTCATCAACGAAAAAGTCCACAAACTAAGTAGCAAACTCTCAAAAATAAGAAGATTAAAAAACCTGAACATACCAAACAAAAGGAAACTATACACGGCACTAATAAAATCAGTATGTGCTACCCGCCTGTACCAACCAACTCATTCAGCGCAAGAACAATAAAAAAACTTCAAACGGTACAAAATAAAAGCCTAAGATTCATCTATAACACCAGTTACGAAGAAAGCGTAACAAACGAAGATCTCCATAGAAGAGCCAACATCAACGCAGTAAACGTAGACATCTACATCCAAGCCAAAAGAACATGGGAACAAGTACGAGAGTTAGACTCAGAAACTGTAGCTAACTGGCTCGACAACGAACCAGTAAGAAGAGCAAGAGAAAAACACGCTTGGATCAGATTAAGCTTCAATCCTTCAATTAAACCAAAAGATAGGACCACCTCCTTATGAACAAAAGTAGCAAGTTGGATCCTACACCTCTTCTTAGAAATTAAACCTCCCTACTATAAACAAAAAGTTTCAATTCTCTAAAACAGAAAAATGTTTCATTAAAAAGATGAGAGTGACCAAAGGACACTACCCTTGGCCTCTCCAACACTTGTCTTCTTGCCCCTTCCTTCCACTCTTATTAAAACAAAAGATACGTTGCTCAGCCAGCTCCACAAGAACCTGGCTAGAGGTCGTCACCCCTTCCTTGGAACAATGGCTACTACAAAAATATACATATTTTTAACTAACTGTAAAAGGCTTGAGAGCTAGAACCTAATCACGCAAGATGTAAGTTCAAATATAATTAATATAACCTCAGCATATCTGGTTGAGCCCGGATACTGTTAATTTCTTACTTTCCTTCAATTTTCCTCCCTCTTTTACCCTAATCCTAAACCAGTCCCCTCCCCCCAATTGCCACCAAAGTACTTCCAATCCTAATCCCTGTCCTCCCACTCAGCATTACATCTGTAGATAAGGTAGAGACCTTATCTACAGATGTCAAGTAAAGTCAAGTCAAGGAATGCTAAGATGCTTAGTGGTTATATATTAAAATCTGGGCATTATTTTTCGATAGTCCTGTTCACATGGTGTTACTTTGATGGTTATGAATAGGATAGGAAGCGTATGTTGGTGGGGAGTGTTTAATGTGATGAAATATAGAATAATAACTTGCTACACAAAAGGATTTGCCTGTTACATAATGATAAAACAGGTAAATCGTGTAATAAATGTCAGGTAACATCTTGTAGTCTCTCTGTGTACTCAAGGTTTATTATATACTGTGCTGTATCTAAGCTGTCCCTAACGGGCAGTCATGACTATGGGACCCACTTTCACTCTTTCACCAATCCTAACCTAACCTAACCAAACCTAACCTAACCTATCCGAAAAATTCTTGTCCAGAGAGTGTTTGAATGACCCTTCAGAGGAAACATTACCCGTGGTCTGACAGCAGTATGTTTCTCCTCCACACAGAGCTAGATGAGCCGCCTCTGGTGTGCCGATGTGCAGACTTCAGCCTCTTCTGCGAGTCACGGGATTTAACGCAGATTCCCACACCCCTGCCGGACTCCGCTCGCTACCTGTACGTGAAAATATAAACATCATCTCTCATTTCCACCAGTCACAATAGGGTACTCATATTTATCGACCTGTGTGTGTGTGTGTGTGTGTGTGTGCGTGTGTGTTTCCTTCCTGTACAGCAAATGCCATAAAGGCCAGGATATCCATATTTGGTATAAGATCAAGAATATCTTTCTGTTTGTGAGTCGTAACTCGCTTTTGGCAATTTTATGACTGATGGACGATTTTAACGATAATGCTAAATATTTATAAACCTTATCAAAATAGTAGATATTTTGTGTTCATTTTGGTGTTATATTTGGACGGTATTTCTACACTTTGATCTAACTCAACCAACTTTGTTCAAGTCTTACGACTAGATATTTATAATTGATAGAATCTTAACCTAAATAAAAATGCTAAAATTCACCTGAAAATATCATCGTCAACAAACTCGTAGACTGTATATTGTCTAACGTTTTTAATGAAGTTAATATACAACACCAAAGGCTCTATTACTTTTGGGAGGCACAACCATGACACTGACAATAAACTGTAAATTCAAAATATAACCCACGTCATAAATGTCATCAAAGAGTGTCCTTGACAGATCACTGAGGATAATTCCTGATTTTGTCAGATATTCACCTCCTCCCCTCTTCTTTTTTTCTTCTTCCTATTCCTCTTCCTCGTCCTTTTCCTCGTTCTACTTCATTTCCTGCTCATGGTCATCCTCCTCCTCCTTTTCCTCCTCCTCCACCACTATTACGTCTTCTACTAACCAAGCTGGCGGCTCCAATAGAGTCCATTTAATCTGTAGGTCATAAAACATAATATATCTTTCAGAACTGTTGGTTATGATTATGTAATATTTCTCTTAAAACTGCTGGTCACAGAAAGGTATTATTTATCTTTCCAGCGACATATCTGGGAACTTAGTGGAAGAACTAGACGCCTCCACCTTCTCGCCGCTACCGGAGCTGCAAGTACTGTGAGTCTTGTTGTTGTTCATCGTATTGCCAACTTAGTGGAGAAAATAACCATATTTATCGAATTTATGGATCATTTCAAATATAAAATTTCTGAACTGCTTTTTAGCAACCTTTACCATTTATTAAGGAGTGCGACGATCAAGTGGATACAGCACCTGCTTGGTGGTTCGATCCCGGGCACTCATTCACCCAGTTATAAATTGGTAGTGTAAGTTTACAACTTGAGGAAATGCAGTACCGTGTGTACCGAAGGCTTAGTATACAGTGTGTTGTATCCACACTGTCCCTAACGGGTAGTCATGCCTATGGGACCCATTTTCACCGATTATTCGGGTCATAATACTGAATTCAAGAGACTTTTGGGCCGATATTAGTCAATTTGACCAAGTTAAGGTTTGCATTCAGCGAAGTTCATTAAGATTTAGCATTTTCGGGCTGCGTATGTTGGTGTTCCTGTTATCTGGGGCTTAATTCTTCAAAGAACATATTTTATTTGAATTTGAGGATTTTGTTACGAAAGATATTTCTTAAGACTATAATTCGCGCGACAAATGTTTGTGATGTATATATGAATATACAAATATGTCTATTTCAAGAAATAGGCGCGAACAATTGTGATCCCTGGACCACGAGGTGAGAGAGAAGGTATAAATAATTCAGACACATAAAAGAATGGTCTACCCATTAATAAATCAAATACCAAGTCGTCATGTCAAGCTTCGTGGGTTTCTCTCGGGACCAGTTATCCACCGCAATGGGACGAAGAGGTGTTTGATTTATAACTGAATACCCCACTTTTAGTTCTCAGTAATACCTATCATTTGTCTCACGCCGTGGGTCTGGATGGTAATGATGGTGGTAGTGGTGTTGATTATGGTGATGGTGTGGTGGCGGCAGTGGTGGTGGTGGTAGGGAGGCGGCGGTGGTGGTGGTGGTGTCGGCGGCGGTGGCGTCGGCGGCGGCAGCGGCAGCGGCAGTAGCGATGGAGGTAGTGGTGGTAGTGGTGGTGGTGGTAATATTAATGGTGATGGTGGTGGTTATGGTAATGGTGATTATAAAGATAGAGATGATGATGATGATGATATAGATGATGATGATATAGAAGATAATAATGGTGATAGTAGATGTTATGGTGATGATAATAATGATGATGTTGGTGATGGTGATGATATTGGTGGTTGGAGAGATGATGATGATGATGATGGAAGCTGACGTTTGTCTCTATCACCCTGCAGAGTGGTGATCCAGGCAGGCGTCACAGGTCTCAGACGCGGCGTGTTCTCTTCCATGGCCCAGATTCACGAAATGTAAGTGTAGTACCCAAACAATTCTTACCTTTTATTTCAAATTAACAGCATGTAAATTTCCATGTAACTTTCTTCAATAAATTTTTTCATTACTTTTACTTAAAAACATTGACAATTATTAAAACTTCAAAATGACCCAAACAATTAATATGGTTGGCAGTAAAAACGAAGTACAGCTTAACTTTATAAATAAACTCAATAATAAAATCAAGACAGATGCTAAGCAACAAAACAGACAAATATCAGGAAGCATAATAAAAGCATTAATTATTTGGTGCAGCATAACATCTCACTCAAGTTCAACAAGTCACAGATTCACTGGACTGCATTTGAAAGTTTTTTTTTCAGAGGTCAAGGGTTTCTCAGCGGTTCTTATGTGTTTTTTGCATGCTGAATTCTTCAGAAATGTAACTCATTTCACTCAATCAGGTCAGGTTTTTATGCTCTCTTAATTTTAAGAAAATAAATATTCGAAAATAAAAATTTTTAAATTAGCATGTGTATTTTTTTCAAATCAGACTTACATTGACGAAAAATGTACAAACTATACATAAAATGGTACACAAGTACAGTTAATGTGAATTTCAATATTAAAAAGAAAGAAGAAAGTACAGTTAATGTGAATTTCAATATTAAAAAGAAAAAAATAATGTGTAATAAACTGCTTTCGCAAAGATTTTCGTCTGTGTTCCGCATCTGTAACGTGTCTCTTGAGGCACCAGCAGTAGTCCGCAAGCATGTTCACATCCCAGCGGCCCTGGTACCTCTCTTCCATCACTCGAATATCCTGGTGAAAGCGCTCCCCTTGCTCCTTGCTGACATCACCGCAGTTTTCCGGAAAGTAGTCTAAATGTGAGCTGAGAAAATGCATCTTTAAGGACATGCGTGCACCAAGAGCCTGGAAAGTCTGCAGGAGCTCCTCGAAGAAACACGTTCGTACTCTAAACCCATAGCTGCAATGAGGCCGTTGACGTTGTTACAGTAAACCAGCGAAACTTCTTCTTCCGAACTGAAATATTCTCGAAACTCATCTTCAAGGCTGCGGTACCAGGAGAATGTCGTTTCTGGAGCTAACAAACGATTTTCGCGAAGACGTGACTCTAGCAACTGAGCAGATTCTTTGGACAAGCATAAATCTCGTGTCAAATCGTTCAACTCAGCTTTGCTCAGGAGTTTGGGTTGACTTGTCTCGGCCGTAGGTTGATATGTACCAGATATGTCACCATCATCCATTTCTTCATCATGTAATGTCCCTTGTTTCATAAACAGAAAAATTATATAAATGGGTTAATTACATTTGACTTATATACTGATTCATCCCCTGTAACTTTCCACTAGCTATGAGGTGACATGTTCAGTGCACGTGATAAGGTGTGCCCACGGGAAGCTGCGTCATATTATGCTGAGTTCAGGCATTAAGTAGCCGGCTTTCTGGTCACCCAAACAGGGCAGTAGTTTGATATCCTTGACTAGAGGAAGACGTTATTTGAGAGGCGTCGTTGATGGCCTATTCCGTTCTCCCTCGATGGGTCACTACTCAGAGTCACACCCATAATCTTACATCGAACGGACGTGATTAAACGGTCTATTTACATAGCCGCCGTCCTCTCCCTTCACACTCATAGATAGTGGAAGTTACTGTTGTTTTACACTCAGGAATTATATATAAACATAATTTTTTTCAATAAAAGAAGAAAGCAATAATTGGGTTTCGCTACTCTTACCCAATATAATATATGTCTAGTCCATATGCTTTATGCCTAGTTTCAATCGGAATCGGACGGCGAATCTCTGCAGTTTTGGGGTGGTGTTGGAATTGGAATTCCTGGTCCATGAGGCACTGGCTTCATGGCAGATGGCACGTCTGGATACTTTAAGTGTTGCTTGTTTTTCCGATTTATGCCAAAAATGAAAGAGATAAATACATACCGTCAGGAGGGGGGTGACATATCACATATAAAGTTAAACATATTAGAATGTTTGGGAATTTATTAAACATATTAAGTTAAACTCAAACTAAATTCATACAAACTCACCTTGTAGGTTTGTCATACAGAAATAAAAGTCAGTAGTATGATCTCTTCCCTCCGTCCACACCATTGGGACACCAAAAGGCAGACACTCAATCTTCTTGTGGCTCCAGCGCCATAGACTTTCAACGCACGTTTTGCAGCATATGTGAGGGGCAAAGGCTTTGTCCTGGTCACCAAGTTTCACTCCAAAGTATGCGTGATAGTTTTTCCTCACAAAACGTGTTATGTTAGACTGCCGGTCTGACATAGGCACTTTACCACAGATATAGCAGAAATTGTTTGGGTCATTCTTGCACTTTCGATTCATCGTGAAACAAAGTAATGTCGTGGCAAGAAGGAAGCTACGCAGGACGTACTGCCGCACACACGCACCCACGAAGACAGCTCACGGCAGACTGATTTCATAACGATTTGTCTATTTTTTTCTGAAATTGAGATAACATAAAGCCTTTGAGAAAGCACTTTCTTCCACATTAACTGTACTTGTGTACCATTTTATATATAGTTTGTACATTTTCCTTCAATGCAAGTCTTATTTGAAAAAATAAAAATGCTAATTTAAATAAAAATAATATTTTCGATTATTTATTTTCTTTAAATTGAGGTGGCATAAAAACCTGACCTGAATGAACGAAATGAGTTACATTTCTGAATTCAGCATGCAAAAAGCAGATAGGAACCGTTGAGAAAATCTTGACCTAAAAAATAACGCATTGCTGTTTTATGGCAGCACAGGTAACATATCTAAGACACATAACATAAACTTGATAAATTACTACTGATAAATGTAACGACCTAAACGTGCAAGTAAGGAAAAGGTGTTGAAATAAAAACCACCAATAAAATCGAAGACTAAATCATCGGCAATCACCATGTCCCACTCGTGATGTTGCTGAAATTATATTACTTACTACAGTTAAATAAAGTGCCTTGTAAACTTAAGATGCACGTTATACTTAACTTAGGAATTGGTAATTCTCAGAGGCCTGGTGAGTAGGTAACGACGAGACTAGAACCCATCGCAGCAAATATGGTCAGCCAGCACATTGAGGTACGGTCCAACACACTGCCAAAGTGAGAGCTCATTAACACATACACACCCTACATACTGATGATAACATCACACAGACCATCTACTCTGATGGATCTCTTCACACTGCCTGTGGGAGGGCCGGAAGTGCTGTCGTTGTGACTCAACCTAACGGTAATACAAATGAGAAAGGAGTTAGAATTAACAAATGGGCATCCACTCTACAAACTGAATTATTTGCCATACTCACAGCTATTAAATTTTTTTGAAAACACTTTCATTGATCGTCTCATCATCACTGATTCTCTATCCACACTACATGCCCTTACACCCTCAACTTAAGTTGTCACGCGCTTTTCTTTGACGCCAGACACAAATATGCGTACCTTCTTGACGGGGATGGTGCGGATTCACTTTCACATATTATAATTGGTCTGAGAGAACATGACAGAGTTGATGCCCTTGTCAAACTCGCATATAACAAAGACACTGTTGAATACAATCTGGGTCTGTCAAAAAGGACCCCTAAAATTTTAATCAGGAAAGAACTTATTGATTAATTTGACGCAAGTAGACAAGTGCAAACAGTCATTGCTTATTACGATGAGATGTATCAAGTTAAACATGTACTGTTTAAGGAGAAGGTAACAAGATCACTAGATTACAAACTTTTGTAAACTCTAGACTAAGATTAGGATATAAGTGCCCCCAGCAGTATATCCCTCAAGAAGATGTGAACAAAGCTAAATGTAAAGTGTGTGGTCAAACATATGGCCATACACCCGAACGTCCTTGACTGTGTGAAAATATAACTTTTTAGAAACAGGCCCAAGCACACTGTGTGAAAAGTCAAAACACTTTATTTCTAATGGCTAGATAACTGATATATTATCCATTTTTTTGCACTCAGTAGATATATCATGACACCATCCATCATCACTACATATAACATCATCCATCATCACTACATATAACGCCATCCATCATCACTACATATAACACCATCCATCATCACTACATATAACACCACCCATCATCACTACATATAACAACATCCATCATCACTACATATAACACCATCCATCATCACTACATATAACACCATCCATCATTACTACAGATCGGTAAAGTAGTTTCCGAGAATCTCGTGCATAGACCTTACAGCTTTTCCACATCTTTTTCAACCTCTGTGTGGTTTAACGGTTCGGGCCGGGTTGGTTGGAGTTTTTTTTGAGATCCTCATATGACACTTGCTATCCATGCCAAGTATGGTCCGGGCGGCTCATTTGCTAGGCCACGGTAGGACGCCACCCTCCGGGAGGCTCCACATTGTCTCACTGTTCAGTCCCCAAAACTTCTTCTTCCATCATTAGTTCATTAATGGTGAATGTAAGTTCCACTACAACGGTACAGCAAAGTATATTTTTTTAGCATTAAACTGTTATTATTTTATTGTCTAATCATCACTATATATAACACCACCCATCATCACTACATATAACATCATCCATCATCACTACATATAACACCATCCATCATCACTGCATATAACACCATCCATCATCACTACAGATCGGTAAAATAGTTTCCGAGATTCTCGTGCAGACACACACACACACAAGCAGACAGACTTCTTTGTTTTATATAGATAGATTGTCTAATCATCACTACATATAACAACAACCATCATCACTACAAATAACCTCATCCATCATCACTACACATAACACCACCAATCATCACTACACATAACACCACCAATCATCACTACACATAACATCATCGATCATCACTACATATAACATCATCCATCATCACCACATACAACATCATCCATCATCACTACATATAACACCATCCATCATCACTCCATATAACACCACCCATCATCGCTACATATAACAACATCCATCATCACAACATATAATATCATCCATCATCTCTACATATGTCACCATCCATCATCATTACTACATATAACACCATCCCTCATCACTATAGATATAAGAATATATGAGAATAAATCTAAAGTCTTCATTACTGAGTTTCATAAATATATCTCAAATTAATTGCTGTTGTATGTATTTTCTTTCCCTAAATTTTGTGAAACTTACACACAAAATGAAATAAAATTTTAATTCAACACTTGAGGTTTCAGACACATGTAATGCCTAAAATCTATAGCTTATGTAATCTTTGCAACCCAGATGTAACACACAAAGCAAAAACGTTAAGTGTGTATATACCTGACGGGAGAGGAAGACGTGAAGTGATGGTAGGTTGTGTAAGGCACCATTAAAAATTACACCACTGTCAGTTGTCATGGGACTTTCAGACCGAGAGGAAGGGCTTATGGAAACTCGTCGTGTAAAAATAACAAATATTACACTATTTACATTCACAGAGCAAGTTTTCATGTCTAAATATCTCCAATTTTAGTAGATAGTAGGTAGTAGGCAGGTACCAAACAGGGCGGTACTACCGCCTGGGAAGATATTGGAAGCATAATGCGTTGTCTAATGGTAGACCCTGCTACCAGATGGCAACACGAAAATTGTGACCAAGTCCCAGGTTGCTGATCTGACTTTCTGCCTCATTTACACACAATTGCAGGGTCTCAATTGTTTCTCTTACTATTGACAACACAACATACATATATTGTTTCTCACTATTGATTTTTTTTCTTTATGGTTCGTTGTTATCATTATTATAATTTTTATTTTATTTTATTTTAAATTTTGTATTTTATATTATAATTTTATTTACTATGAATTATTACTGTTATTATTATTATTATTATTATTATTATTATTTATTTATTTTTTATTATTTATTGGGCACTCCCCTACATCCTTGTGTAAGGTGAAGCGCAGAAGGGTTTACAGCGCCCAACAGGGAAGCATGCTAAGTTCATGCTTGCCTTTATGTCTCACGAGTTAAGGGCGTAGAAGCCTAAAGAGTCAAGGGCGTAGAAGCCTGAAGAGTCAGTGGTTTATGTCATGAAGTTATTGGAAGCTCCAACAACTTTCCCTGAATACGAATTCGCAACTTTCGATTTACACCAGGTACCTACTTTAAGGCTAGGTGAACAGGAACTAATGGTGGCTAGGAAGTAAGTCCAAACAACTTCCACCGGCCCGGGAATCGAACCCGTGACATCTCGCTTGCGAGTCAAGAACGGTACCGCATCTACCACCGGTCCCCTATTATTATTATTATTACATTTTCGCCCCCCAGGCCCCAATGTGGGTCAGTGACCGTTGCCCGGGTGGGCTAATAAAAAAAAAAATAATAATAATAAAAATTACTTCACGCACAACTCGGCGGCTATCTTGTACTTTACGTCGGCGTGTATATATATACCACAGGCCTGGAGTTCTTGGTTCTCCGTGCTGTCCTGTTCAGTCGGTGGCTCACTCTGCTCTCCCGTGACCATCACCACCACCACACGAATATGGCTCGGTTGCCAACTAATCCTAATACAATACATCGAAAGTTTTACACCTTATACCCTATAAAACAGAATATGGCTCTTACATAATGTTTTAACAACCAAAACTAAATAACACCGGGAGTTTCCGCCAATTCCGAGCCAATAGTGAGAAAGCCTTAGGCCTGTTTTCGACTAATGAGAAAGCCTATGAGGCGTGACGTCATGAAAGTTGTGGCGTCTCTTGTAGGCTGACGCGGTTTGAACAGTAGTCTGTGTTGGAATTTTGTGTAAGGAGGTGTGTGACGTTTGTGGTGGCGACATGGCAGGTATTTGGGTGTATTCTATTTGGTAAATCCTAAGTTCCCATTTGTTGTGAGATACGTGGTCCCCGTTTAACTAGCTAGGAACATAGGTTTATTATTTTGAAGTGTAACTGTTAAACTCTAATATAAGGTATTCATTAAATACAGTAACCGATAATAGGAGTCCTAATTCATCCCTCCCTTATTGAGAAAGGGTGATGTGTTATAAATGTCTTGGTATTATGCAGTAGTAAGGTGAGTCCTATATACAATAGCTATCCTATATTTCCCCTCTGTGAGGTATTGATGTCGTAGTCCCCATAACCAGTCCCTGAGTCTCCCCATGGTGTAGGCCTTTCTAGCCTAACCACAAACCGTTAGTCCTGTACTCCCCCTTCCCCTCACACCCTCCCCTCTCCCCAAACATAAACAATTACCTCCCTCACTCTCTCCACCTCTCACGAGTATGACGAAAGAGTAAGTTGGTACATTAAAATATGATACATTAAAATTAGGGACATCTAATAAAAGCATTTTATTTGTTACACAGGCTGTGAACCACCCTCATTGTCATTGGTCGTTCTCGGTTATCACCAAATTAGCCAATCATAGACAGCGGTGTGGGCCGACATGTGACAACTACCTTAAGTCTGGTATTCTGGGAGAGGGACTCCATAGCAGAAAACAAGTATTACTACAATTCCTGACACGTGCGTGTGTCGCTCAAACAGCGTAAGATTATCAGAAGATAACTAACTGGGTGATGTTAAGATGGTGTAGTGCGGAGGAGAGTTAAACCACCTATTGAGTTTAGTGGAAATACAAGTTTATTAACGAAACAGGTCTTATTGCGTGAGTGGCGCGTCTGCTTTCATGTTGAGTCGCCGTGATGTTAAAGATACCTTATCCTGTTTATAAGTAAATGTATTTGAATATCTTCAAACAAATCCACAACGGCACATACTGTACATATACATAAAGACGAACTCATACAAACAAATACGTGTATACACACACACATGATTATATATATATATATATATATACACTTCAACCCGCCAAGATTCGAACCCACAGCCCACGAGCCTATGTCTGTGCCAGGGAACGCTAACCGCTGTACCACCAGGATACAATAGCAGTATAGTCCTAGACTTTGTTATATTTCACACAAAGTCTGTTCAACGAGCTTATGGCGCCGTGAACCTCTAATGGGGACTACCCGTTCACGGCGCCATAAGCTCGTTGAACAGGCTTTGTGTGAAATATAACAAAAGTCTAAGACTGCTTTCGTATCCTGGTGGTCCAGCGGTTAGCGTTTCCCGGTCATAGTCATAGGCTCGTGGGCCGTGGGTTCGAATACTGGCGGGTTGAGGTGTTGATTGTATGTAGAAGTCCGAGTGCTTTATTGGGCTAATGAAATATATATATATATATATATATATATATATATATATATATATATATATATATATATATATATATATATATATATATATATATATATATATATATATATATATATACATTGATAAACATACGCACACACAATCAAATTTTACGACTTGTATTCACCTGTTGTTGTTTTTTTTGTCTTTTTCCCCTGGACAGTCACTTCACAGGCAACGACCTTCATACCCTGGAGAATGGCACAATGGAAGGCACCAGTTCACTCTCTCACCTGTAAGTATAGTAACCGTCTCCTCTCTTTTGGAAAGTATCACAAATTCTTAACTGATGATAGCGGTGGCATCCTCATCATGAGAGTTCACATGATTGTATGGTTGAATTGCAGCAACTCACCTGACTGCATAGTAATATTGCAACAACGCACCTCATTGCATGACTATAATTCAACAGATCACTCAAGTGAAAGGTTATATTGCAACAACTCACGTGACTTTATGGTTATATTATAACAATTCACATGATTTTGGTTGTATTAATTACTTAATTACATTCATGACAATCCACCCGATTAAATAACTACAACAGTTTACCTGGTTATTTGCGTTTGACACAGTGTGTAGCTTAACTCAAATATTTTATACTTTACCTGAATATATGAGTGTTTGATAGTGTAATGATATGAGTGTGTGACTGTCTGGTGGTGTAAGGATATGAGTGTGTGACTGTCTGGCGGTGTAATGATATGAGTGTGTGACTTTCTGGTGGTGTAATGAAATGAGTGTGTGACTGTCGGCAATTTATAGCAATTGCCCTGGACAGCCATTCACGACCAACCCCTCTTCTAGGCAAGACACCACATACTATCGGGATCCCTCCCCTATCTCTAATCTTCCCTAGCGCCTCCCAATACCTCTTGAAAAGTTCCTCACTCCTAACCTTACCTATGTCGTTTCCTCCCACACTAAGACACACTACTGGATTGGTACCCTCCCCTGACAAAACCCTGTCTAACCTCTCGGCTACATGCCCTGTCCCAGCCCCAGGAAAACACACCCTAGTCCTACGTTTCCTATCTCTCGCACAAAAAGCCCTATCCATAAACCTCACCTGGCTGTCACCAACTACCACGACCTTACCTGTGGGCAGGGTTTGTACAACTGCCCTTTCCTCTCCTTGATCCATACCGTCCTGCCCTGAATTAATTTGCCGCCCTATTTTGGTGTCATCCGCAAACTTGCTTATGACACTGCTGATCCCAGTATCTAAATCGTGTATGTCATCCACTAATCCCCACACCAACACACACGTAGAGGAGCTTAAGAGAAGGAGGGTGACGTGACTAGTCAGGTCAGGTCAAAAATAAGGGACCCACAAAATAACTATCATACATCTAGGACAAACAGGAAAAACACTGCAGCTCAGATGACAGATGACACCGACCTGATAACGAGATCTGAGATTGCCGAGTTCCACTACAATTTAAATAGTGAGTTACTTAATGCACAAAGGCAGAACATACCATACAAAAACTCAGATCAGACAACAATGACCCTAAATGGATAAATAATTATTTAAAGAACATCATTGGCCAAAGGAAGGCTATAGGTAGAAGGATAAATCGTGGCGAAATTCACCTGCGGGACTATTATAGGGTATTGGCGAGTAGGGTTAAAACCGAGATAAGGAAAGCAAAGAGGAATAATGAGGTAAGGATAGCAAGGGAGGCAAAGACAAACCCCAAAGGATTCTACCAAATGTATCAAACTAAAACACGAGAAAAGATTGGACCAATACGGTCAGACTTCGGCGAGCTCACTGATGACGACGGAGAAATGAGCAATAATTTGAATAAATATTTTTCAACAGTTTTCACCACCGAAAATTTAAACATGATACCCGAGGCACCGACTCTATTGAGAGATAATGAAGAAAACAAATTAAGTGAGATAGTAGTGACTAGTAACGATGTTAGTAAGCAAATAGACAAACTAAAGCCTAATAAGTCACCTGGTCCCGATGAGATATTTGCCAGAGTATTAAAGGAATGTAAGGAAGAGCTTAGTATGCCCTTAGCAAAGTTGTTTAACATGTCATTAAAAACAGGTGTAGTACCAGAATCCTGGAGGATAGCGAATGTAATACCGATTTTCAAGAAGGGGGATAGATCACTATCTCTAACTACCGCCCAATCAGTCTAACGTCAATAGTAGGCAAATTACTGGAAGCAATCATTTCAAACTCTATTCGAAATCACCTGGAGAAGCACGGATTGATCAATGATTCCCAGCATGGCTTCACAAGCGGACGTTCTTGCCTAACTAATCTATTAACATTCTTTTCATCAGTTTTCGAATCGGTGGACGAGGGGCACAATTATGATGTGGTATATCTCGACTTTAGCAAAGCCTTCGACAGAGTCCCCCTCGAAAGACTAATTAGAAAGGTAGAAGCTCATGGCATCAAAGGTGACATCCTTAAATGGATTAGGGCATGGTTACAGGACAGGAAACAGCGAGTGAGCATTAACGGCACTAAGTCTCATTGGAGCAACGTCACAAGTGGGGTTCCCCAAGGCTCAGTACTTGGACCATTATTATTTATTATATACATAAACGACATAGATATCGGCATTGACAGCAACATAAGTAAATTTGCTGATGACACTAAAATAGGACGTGTTATCAAATCTGACGAGGACTCGGCAAAACTACAGGAAGATCTAAACAAATTTTTCGAATGGTCTGAAAAATGGCAGATGAAATTCAACGTCGACAAATGTAAAGTACTCAGTATAGGCGATGTAAACAGGGAAACCAGATACCAGATGAACAACGACGCCATAGAGAAATCCGACTGCGAGAGAGATTTAGGAGTAATGATAAGTAGGAACCTTAAGCCAAGTAAACAATGTGTTTTTGTTCTTAACAAGGCTAATAAATTACTTGGGTTCATACAAAGGAGTGTTAGTTACAAGACTAGCGAGGTCATCCTAAAACTGTATCTTGCTCTTGTGAGACCACACCTGGATTACGCAGTTCAGTTCTGGTCACCGTATTACAGAATGGATATAGAATCCTTGGAAAGAATTCAGAGGAGAATGACAAGACTAATCCCGGGCATTAGGAACCTTGAGTATAGAGACAGGTTAAAACATCTTAATTTGCACTCCCTTGAGAGACGTAGAGCGAGGTGTATAAGTGGAAGGCAGGGCTAAACAAAGGGGACATTACAAAGGTACTCAAACTATCCAACCAGGAGCGAACTCGTAACAATGGTTTTAAATTAGACAAATTTAGATTTAGGCGTGAAATAGGTAAACACTGTTTTGGAAACAGAGTAGTGGATGAATGGAACAAGTTACCAAATACCATCATTAACTCGAATACGCTGAATTGCTTCAAACATAGGTTGGATGCTCATATGAGCAATAGCGGTTGGGTGTAAACGGGACTGCCCAGTATGGGCCAATAGGCCCGCTGCAGTTTCCTCCATTCTTATGTTCTTATGTGCTTATCTTGAAGGTCCTCAACACCTACCTAAGTGTACGTTATGAAACATCCTGCCTTTGAGGATACAGTCTTTCGTTCATGTGGTTTTCAAGGCTTTTGTTCTCGTAGTTTCAAAGTCTCGTACGGTCGATGCTTACTCTCCTAATAATTAATTAGAAAACTTTAAACTTTCTCCTAATTATTTTTTCACGTGTTCTCTTGACTCGCAATTATGTCTGATAATTTATTGTTACTAATCACCTGAAACTTTTTTAATAAATAACTTTTTAAAATCATGAAAAATATAATTCATTTTAAGAGAGGAACGATATTTTTTTACTCCCAAGTTTCAAAGTTAATTATATCATGAGGTGATCCTCTGTGTGTTAAAGAATTTACAAGCCAAAAGACAGGTTTGTCCAGAGGCTTAAAGGAGCTAATTTTCAGTAAGGAAATCATGAATGCTACAAGGGAAACGACCTATTCGCCCCTCAGGCCCCGTTGTGAGTAGATGACTTATGTCTGGATGGGCTAATCTCCGTGGAAAAAAAATCTAATGAAAGAAGACAATGTCATCATTCTTGGAAGACAAGGACAAGGAGACAACTTTCTCATTATCTTGCTTGACTGAGGAGGTAACAGTCTCTCTATATCACCTGCACTTTCGCAGAAACAACATTCACTTATTAAGTGGGCTTCCCTGTTAACCGAGTCGAAGGCCTTGCTTAGGTCGATGTAAGCCATGTACAGGTCACGAAGCTGTTTTCTGCACTTTTCTTGTATCTGACGGGCAGCAAAGATCATGTCACTTGTGCCACGTGATGGTCTAAAGAGTCATATTCTTACAATAAATTATTTAACAATATATAATAGGCGAAATAAAGCTGAAATGAGCTCCTTTGTTGTTGTTGTTGTTGTTTTTGTTGTCGTTGCTGCTGTTTTCCCTTACTGGTCCAAGTAACCTAAGTAACTGACTCTCCGCTGGATTTACTGAAGACTTCGAGGTCTAGACCACAGGGAGAAGTTCAGGCAGCTGCTTCAGCTTCTGGGGATTTATTGTAAACTGAGTTTAAAACGTGTGGGGTAACTGGGTCATGGTTTGAAAATACATTTGAGCTGGTTAGATGTTCCTGTGATAGCGGCCTTTGAACTCTGGATAGTTTCACTTCATCCTAATTCTCGACTTCACAGTTTACCAAGTATAAATATTTGCACACACAGACTCCACAGTCACATGAGTAGAATTATTCCACCGCCAGTTCTCTCCCTCGGGATTCAATGTTTATTTATCATCAATTGTATAGTTAGCATCTCCCTCTCTTTCCATCTGAGTGGCGTGGGATCGAATCCGGTGGTTTTGAGTGTGTGTGTGTAGAGAGATTTACATATTAATTGAAATAGGTTTTAACCCATCGAGTACAGGAGTTTATCTCAGCTGAAAAAAATCGTCTGTTAGCCAGAATAAAACATCTAATGCGACACGATTCCTTTAGGGCAAATGCAGCTTTGTAAATGAAAGCACGTGTTGATCGTGTTGCAATTGCAGCAATAACACTATTCGCTTGATACATGAACAAATTTTACTAAACGTAGCTCAACTAAACATTCCACACCCGACCCGAAGGTGACTTTATTCAAACGCATAATATAATTTACTATCAAAATAAAAAGTACCCTAACCAAACTAAACCCACCCGAACCTAACCAAACCTATCCTACCATACAGTACATCAATATTATTCTAGCTTCACATATTTTAAGTAGATTTTATACACAGTTTACCGTTATTTGCCCAAATATTGTTTACACATTGCAGATAATACGGGCTATATTATCACAAAGAGAAAGTGGAAATACTTTTAAAAATATAATATTTCCACATATAAATATATAATACAACTCATTAGTTGTCCATAAAAATTATTTACGATAAAAGTCTATATTAAATTTCATAATTCATGCATTTTATATTATGACTATAATTAGCGAACAATATGAAATAAAATTCTAGACGCTTTACAGTTTATATACACGGACTGCTGCCTAATTCTGTGGTGACCCGCCACTCCCTCCCTGGTGTATGTTTTACTTTCAATCGTAAGAACTAGCCAGCAGGGCGGCTCCTCCTGGTAGGGGCCGAGAGGAGGCTATGATACCGCCCCACATTACTAGAGCTGAACTTCTACACTTATCGTTGATAAGCAAGTTTGCGGATGACACCAAAATAGGGAGGCAAATTATTTCAGGGCAGGATGCAAATGCATTACAGGAGGATCTAAATAAACTGCAGGGGTGGTCTGAAAAATGGCAAATGAAATTCAACACCAGCAAGTGCAGCGTACTTAATATTGGAAGGACAAATACTTACAATGTATACAGCCTTAACAACATCAACCTAGAGAAGTCGACTTGTGAAAGAGACCTAGGGGTACTTGTAAGCCCGGACCTACGGCCTAGAAAACAGTGCGTTAATGTTCGAAATAAGGCAAACAGAGTATTGGGTTTTATATCTAGAGGTGTAAGTAACAAGAGTGCAGAGGTCTTATTGCAACTATATCTTGCGCTAGTCAGGCCGCACCTCGATTATGCGGTCCAGTTCTGGTGCCCCTATTATAGAATGGATATAAATTCACTAGAGTCGGTGCAGCGAAGAATGACAAAAATGATTCCGGAACTTAGAAACCTTCCATATCAGGATAGGTTAAAGAAACTTAACTTGCATTCCCTAGAAAGACGAAGAGTGCGGGGAGATATGATAGAAGTATTTAAGTGGGTGAAAGGAATCAATAAAGGGGATATAGATAAAGTTCTTATAATATCCGAGCAGGATAGGACTCGGAGCAATGGATTCAAGTTGGATAAGTTTAGGTTTAGGAGGGAGATAGGAAGAAACTGGCTCACAAATAGGGTGGTGGACGAGTGGAACAAGCTAAGCAACTATGTAGTAAGTGCGGGAACTCTGGAAAGTTTCAAAAGGAGGCTAGATAGATTCATGGATGATAGAGAGTGGTAGTAAGTCTCGACAGAAGCTGCCATGCACAGGCCAACCGGCCTATTGCAGACTCCTTATTTTCTTATGTTCTTATGTGTGTTGTTCTCACGAGTTGGTGGCCCACTGGAGCACAAATGCACAGGTACATGACATTTGAAGTCTTATCATAAGGAAATTTTTTTAGCGTGGTTGCTGTTTTATCTCAGGAATATACGGAGATGATAGATAGATAGATATATTGAAAATAAGTCATAATAATAATAATAATAATTATTATTATTATTATTATTATAATAATAATAATAATCATAATATTAATAATAATATAATAATAATAATGATAGCACCCTGGACCTCTGCGTGTGAACAGGGGTCGTTCTCATGTTACCACAAGGGCAACAAAAACAATTCCTATTATTAATTTATTTGGTACTAGTTTTGCTATTATTATATTGTTACTTTTATCATTATCGCCATTAGTATGCATATACTGCAATTACTGGCCACTTGATTTTATGATTTGGGCTAACCTGTGACAGGATTAGCAGTTAGGTCAATACAGAGCAGAGACACACAATAATTTGCATCATATTCCACGAATCACTCCCACATTGACCCCCAACGTATGACATTACTCTCTTTTCATTTTAGCTATAGAAAAATGGACTAGTGCTACACTGTGTACTATGTCTTCGGTATACAATGAAGCAGCTTAGCCGACATTGCACTCGACCGCTCTCACCTCCCCAACTGTACCGTAAGGTGCCCGTTTACAACTGGGGTGGGGGGGGGGAGAGTATGAAGTGGCTTTACACTTTGATCGAACCAGTGAATCTTAGGACAGGAGGGGGTGTTGTAAGCACTCAGCCTTCATACCCCCATTCTTGTGCTACCATCTATCGTTTAAAAACAATTTTAATCCTAATTTTAAACCCACTGCTCAATAACATTTAATTTAATTATTTTTCAATATTAGTAACATCAGGAAAAAGATATTGACCTCATTCAGCTCCTGTAGAGATTCTCGGTGTACTTTCATATCCATTTTTCCTGCTATCATCATGTTGTTGCTTCTGGATGCCATCTACCGGATGTTTTCACATCCAACCGTTTACAAGGGGAGATTTAATGCAGGAACATTGGACAACCTGAGGTATGTGTTGCGAACCTTGGTAGGGTGACGATGGTGTCCTTAGTGAGGTGATCTTGTTTACTCTGTCTGTTGCCTGAAGAAGATGTGTGTATTTGTGTGCATGTTAGGTGGGCTTCTCTCCTTTTGTCTGTCTCTCTATATCTATCTGTCTCTCTCTACCTGGCAGTCTCCTCTAAGTTAGTTAACTCTTGTATCTTACAGACAGCTGAGCAGCAACAATATCAGTGATCTGCCTGACGGGTTTTTCGTCCACAACACCAACCTGCAGAGGCTGTAAGTATCCTTTAGCACAGGGGTGGGCAATTATTTTTGATGGAGGGCCACTTCATGAATGGTTGCACACTTCGCGGGCCACAGGTTAACAGCGACGAGCCAGTATTGCTGCTATATCCACCCAACTTCCAAAATTGTCCTTTCTGTAATTAATAAGATTTTTTTTTCTCATTGCCAAATTCAGTGGCGGGCCACAGAAATAATTTGGCGGGCCAAATGTGGCCCGCGGGCCGTACTATGCCCACCCCTGCTTTAGCATGTGTGTGTGTGTGTGTGTGTGAGGAAATCCAAAAATTTATTATAAGACTCATTTTTCACTTGTGGGATCATTAAAGCACATTTGTACCATCATATGGCAGGTAAGGATATTTAAATGACTTCACAATATAACTTACAAATGTTTACAAAAGAGCGTACAGAAATCGTGTCCATAAAATGATAACAGTCGCCGACAAAATACTCTGGTCACGTCTGGTAGCACTACTGTATTGACAAACAGCTCGTGCTACAATGGTTCAGTCTCCTATCCCGTGTTCTGTAAAGCAAGGCCCACCAAAGAGTTACTCATATGTATGATTTTTGGACTTTGTGTATGTTTATGTTGTCTCAGATGCTACCAAACGTGTCGAGAATATTTTATCAGCGACTGTACATAAAATCATGTATACAGTACATACAAGGATGTTCTATACATAACATTGTCTCGAATAGATAAAATAATATACATGACTCTCCTCTCAGAATCTTGTCCAGACAAACCTCATCACCATTATCTATATATACCAGAGGAGACATGAACATAACTTCCAACTTTATTTTCAATTAGACAACATTACCTTAATAACATTTGTTAATATAGTTCCTTCTTCATTTTGTATTATTATATTCTTGTGCCTTTACAAAGGTGCATTTGTAATTTTCTGCTTATAAAGTTAAGTTTACAAAAATGTTTACAAGGACGTACTGTATATTGGCAGTTGATTAAACAAGGTATATTTACGAAATAATATTTACAAGTTTACATGAACAAAATTACAATTGCAAGGTTGTTTCCTCTTGGATTTGTATAATGGAAGATCAGTTTGTTTCATCAATTATTACTATTATTATTATTATTTTATTATTATTATTATTATTATTATTATTGGAATTATTATTATTATTATTATTATTATTATTATTATTATTATTATTAAAAAGTTGATTCTGATGCCATATCTCAAATATTATGAGATTATACCAAAAGATTTATCTTCACACAAAACAAAACAAATGGTTTACTATGAAAACTATTTTAATTGTTGTCTGGATAAAATATACTGTACTGTGGTTATATGAATTTAGTAATTAATTTTCATTTGTTGTATTTATGTAGCTGTGTAGAAAATACAGTTATGCTGAGAGTTAAACTTTTCTATTTAGTTGTAATAAAATAGTTTTAATAATATTTCTGATAATAATAATAATAATAATAATAGTAATAATAATAATAATAATATTATAATAATAATAATAATATTAATACTAGTAATAATATTTCTGATAATAATAATAATAATAATAATGAAAATAATATTAATAATAATAATAATAATAATGATAATATTAATGATAATAATAATAATAATAATAATAATAATAATAATATTGACATTAATAATAATAATAATAATAATAATAATAATAATAATAATAATAATAATAATAATAATAATAATAATAATAATAATAATAATAATAATAATAATAACAATAATAATAATAATAATAGTGACAATAATAATAATAATAATAGTGGCAATAATAATAATAATAATAATAGTGGCAATAATAATAATAACAATAATAATAATAATAATAATAATAATAATAGTGGCAATAATAATAATGATAATGACAAAAATAATAATAATTAATTTAATTTCGGATATGTAATCAAAAATTATAATCAAAGTCATATAAACACCAACAACACCACAGGACCATCACACATCATGAAACATCTATGATAAGTAACACCCTTGTAAGAAAGGTCTTTTACCACTAATACCATAACCAGTTCTCGAAGATTTTTGGCTCACAGGTGATCAGAACCATCGTGTGTTGGTTCTTTCAGTTGATGTAAACTATACTTAAAGAAAACAGACTTATTAACCAGATATGTTTTAAGAAAAGAGTAAAGTTGGTATGATTGACAAGATCCGCCCATTACGTCTGACACCATTGACACGGACGACCAGACTTACAACACAACCACATAAATCGCATTACCAGATGACCAGAAACTGATCAACGATAACGAGAAGAAATTTATCAATATTTCCTTCTAGTTTGCCCTAATCAACAGTTCCCTTCTACTGATCATTCAACATTATACAGTACGTACTTGGTTTATCTAAGGTCACTTTACATAATTGCTAACTCAACGCTGGTATAAATAAAATTCATGAATTATATTCATAAGTGATGATTGAGAGTGATTCAGGACTTCTTCCTCAACAAAATTTCCTGTTTCCAGTTCAACATTCTCCTGTAATTAAAAACCTGACTTTTATTCCTCCTCCTCAAATACCAGATTACTAATTTCCTCCTGCTTAAAACCTCTTCCGCTTTAGATGTCATTAACGCTGTGAATTACTTTTTTTCTCCAATTAAATGTTGAAAAGCCTGAGTGAAAGAAAGCAGCCTTATTTCACTCTTCTGACTATCACTATCTATTCAATGTTCTACCTCTAATCAGAATATAATTTACACTATCTAAACTTAACTCTCTTATCATGTTCATCAGTTTTCTTTAAGATACTAAAATCCTCCACGATAGTCCACACTCATGGCCTGTAGATTCTGTTATAGTCTTCTTAAAATACTCCAATAAGTGTTAACAACCTAACCTAACCTACCCTATCTTAATCTAACCTAACCAAACCTAACCTAACCTAACCTAACCTAACCTAACCTATTAAAATTCCCCATCCCAGAGTTTTTTATAGAAGAAAAGTTATTAAAGGATATGTTATAATGAATTATTGAGTTGTTTATGATAACTCTGTAGCTGAGGTAATTTTCTTTCATAAGCATCAAAGAATAACTAGTGTAAATGTCATCAAAACCAAAACTGATCGGTTACACTATAATTTACTTGAGATGATAAACTTCTCCTGGGTGCGTGGCTGAACTGACTTATGCACGCACCACAACAACAGTACATGTTAAATATATCCATTGGCATGAGTTACGAATAGTACAGTCTCTAACCTCTTGCCACTTTATTACACGACCATGATGGATTACTGTAAGTCAACAGAAGTGATGCTTAGACACTGTTATTCTTACTTGTTACACATTACTTACACTTTACTGTTATTCTGATTACACGTATTAAATAAAGTGTTTCTGTAATCCGGTCATTAATTACTGTTTATTGTTTTTGTTTTTAACTCATTAAGGAAGTTTCACTAAGATGAGTGGTTTAAAATATTTAAGAGGAAAGTTCAATGACGTGAGGATGATGATATAACCATTTGAGGTTGACACTTTAAACAATTACCCTTAAATGTTCTAAATTATTGCAATGCTCCGAGCATTTCTTACCTTACATTAGAGATCTCAACAACGAAGCCTCATCATATCCCCTCATCTAATAATTCAGAACTGTAAATGGGAGTTTGGGTGGAAGCTGCCGAGAAAAGAGAAAATTACCTGCTCTCTCTCTGTGTCGAAGCACCAAATAACCTACGAAAACATTTGCCCATTTGTCGGCAATTACACGTCTGCTGTAATTTTACGACCTGCCATACGACTGAGTAGAAGACCATCGTAATGTTTACCCTAAGAGGGGAAAGGAGACAGGTTGAAAGTGGAAGAGATCATGGATATGTATATTTGTGTGTGTGTGTGTGTGTTCATATCCCTTCATGCATCCGACTCACTTTGCCTGAGGGTTAGTGGATATAAAAATGTGGTATTGTCGATGCATGGTTGGGTCGTCAGATCCCGAAGAGTTTCACAGCGATGGAATAACAAGTCAGACTTTGGAGGTGACCATTCGTCTTAGCTAATATACGGATGTGTATAAGAGCAGAAGAACGGACCAGATACTGGTGGTGGCTGTACGAGATTAAAGAGTTCTTTCTAAAGAGATAGAACTCTAGAATAATATAGAAAATAGTAAGTAGGTTATTGTAACACAATATAGAACTTAATGTTATGAAGACCTATAATCTTAAAGGTTATAATAATGTCTATAATATAAAAACTAAGACCTATATATTCTTATTAAAATGCTGCCAAAACCGAATGTTTTATTCATATTGTATTCATGGAAATACATTTTAAAAGCACCAAATAACTTACGATATTTTTCCACATAACCAAAATTTGCATATGAACCTGAACCCGAAACATCACAAACAATTTTCATAGTTCGACGGGTGTGTCCAGAACCTCACAGGTTGGAGCGCTGTTGGATGTTAGGGTATTCCGAGAGTTCTCAAAGATAAATAAAGGATATAACAACTCCTCCTGTTATGTCCAAAGATGCAATAGTTGGCTGGGAGAATGACGCTCTTGTACACACATGATGAATTCATGTTTGATCACAAGTACAACTCTCCCAGCTATGTGCAGGGATGCAAAAGAAAAATAAGTAGTAAGTTACTCCACCAGCTTGGGAGGATGCAAGTCCACCAAAGGATTGTTCAACTATGAAAAGAAATAAGACTTACAAAAAAAATGTTTTTTTTTAGCAAATAATTAATGTTTTCCGTGAAAAGAGGGAAAACTAATTAAAATAATAAAACAGTTAATCCACCACCTAGGCAGGAAGTTAGTTGCTCCACCATCGAAAAGCTCACCAGACAGTGTATTTATTTATTGTTGAGTGCACAAGGGTTAGTGTATAAAGAGAGAAACCCAATCCAGTATTCAGGTCGGGAATTAGTTTGTGGAGTAAATAATCTCCTCGGGATCTACAGGTAGCTGTCAACAAAGGCCAAACAAACACCTCGTTATTGTACAGTACGTGAAATATCAAAGTCAGGATCGGATAATCTAATTTTCATGTAGTCATACAATATTGAGGATGGTAACTGAATAGAATGGAATCTGCATTTTTTGGTTACTTATATAAGAAAATATACATACCAACATCGATACAGGGTGATTCAGCAAAGAGTACATTAAAATGGAGGATGAAATCCTTGGATAATTTTAAACCACAAAGTCTCTATGGTAAAATGTCAAATTCTGCATAGTTTCCATGTTACAATACATTTAAGATGTTGTATTAATGAGAGCGAATTTGAAGTGAAACCCCTGTAATCATTGATTGTCTGACGCATTCCAGTTTGCCTGGACTATGTTTAATTTGCTCGCGCCTGTCACGAATACGTGGGCAGAATCTGACATTTTACCATAGAGACATTGTGGTTTAGAATTATCCAAGGGTTTCATCCTCCAATTTAATTTACTCTTTGCTGAATCGCCCTGCATATTTGCACGCATGCACACACTCACCCATGCCAGAGTCAGCTGTTTCTCTTAATTAAAATGGTAAAATCTTTCCCTCTTAAAATTCTTGTGAAATATGATGGAGGAAATATGAATAAATTCCAATATTTAAGTTAATTTTAATTTCGCTCTGATACTTGGCGTATGAATCTTGATTTAGGGTACAGTGCCCAGCTTCCTGTAGTATATGAGCTGTTTCAGTCTAATTACTTTCACACTAAATGCCTTAGAGCAAGAATTGGTTTAAGTACTGAATAGCATAATAATACTGGCAGAGCATTATGTTCTCGAGTTATCGAAGTATCTCTCTTCAGTTTAACTTCTTTTGAACGAGCAAAACTCATTTGTGTTTAAAAATATGGTGTGCACTTATCTCCCTGGGAATTAATTGTTTGAATTAATGTTTTTTTTTATTTCTGTTTGCATGAATATACGCATACAGTATCTTCGTGAATTTCTGTGTCAAAGAGGATGTGCCGTGTATGTCGTGAGTGTGTGTGTGTGTGTGGTACGGGGACAGTTGTTGGGTGTGTCGATAGGTGGATGTGTAAGTGGGTAAATTTTTGGGTGGGTGAGTGAGTGTGGGTGTGCGTGGGTTGGTGGGTGTGTGGATGGATCAGCATGCTCGTCTCACAAGCCAGTGGTCAGGAGGTCGATCCCCGGACAGAGTGAAACTACAGGCAAGTTTCTTTACATCATTTGCCTCAATTTACCCAGTAGTAGTTGGGAACCTTGATGTTAATTGATTTGCGGATCATGTTCCAGGGTAAGGGTGCGTTCACACCAAGGCCGGAACCAGATATGTACTGACACTAAATTTCGGGAGACAGACGATATGCGACGCCGCGGTGAGTATTATGATTTTAGCTAATACCTGTTACACGACTCATTGTTTTTCTAGGGAGAGGGAACTGTCTTCCCTCTAAGATAAAATGTGAAAGATTCGAATTAGATATGATTCATCCGGCCTCAGTTTGCGAGTTAGTCCGGTCTTCTCGGTTTATTCCTTAGCACAGGGTCTCATAGTTCGTTAACATAAAGTGTGGTTGTTGTGTTGGCGACAGCTTTTAGGCCTTAAACAAATTCATGGTTATTTGGCCCTCGACCTGCCGACCTCGAACTTGAGGGGCACCCATCGGTTATTATAGTAAGCATATTTGTTGAAGTGAAAGTATCTAAAGTTGGCATAGAAAAGCCTGTTTAAGATACGTAACATTTTTCAAATAAGCAATAGAAAAATCGAGATTAAATGGAAGTGAAAGCAGTGTTGGACAAAGAGAATGGGATGTAAAAGATAAGAACATAAGAACACAAGAATGGAGGGAACTGCAGCGGGCCTATTGGCCCATACAGGGCAGTCCCATTTACACCCAACCCCTATTGCTCATATGAGCATCCAACCTATGTTTGAAGCTATCCAACATATTCGAGTTAATGATGATATTTGGTAACTTGTTCCATTCATCCACTACTCTGTTACCAAACCATTGTTTACCTATTTCGAGCCTAAATCTAAATTTGTCAAATTTAAAACCATTGTTACGAGTTCGCTCCTGGTTGGATAGTTTGAGTACCTTTGTAATGTCCCCTTTGTTCAGCCCTGACTTCCATTTATACACCTCTATCATATCGCCTCTCACTCTACGTCTCTCGAGGGAGTGCAAATTAAGATGATTTAACCTGTCTCTGTACGCAAGGATCCTAATGCCCGGAATTAGCCTTGTCATTCTCCTCTGACTTCTTTCCAAGGATTCTATATCCATTCTGTACAGTAATAAGGTGACCAGAATTGAACTGCGTAATCCAAGTGAGGTCTCACAAGCACAAGATATAGTTTTAGGGTGACCTCGCTAGTCTTGTAACTAACACTCCTTTGTATGAACCCAAGTACTTTATTAGCCTTGTTACGAGCAAATACACATTGTTTACTTGGCTTAAGGTTCCTACTTATCATTACTCCTAAATCTCTCTGGTAACTGGTTTCCCTGTTTACATCTCCTATACTAAGTACTTTACATTTGTCCACGTTAAATTTCATCTGCCATTTTTCAGACCATTAAAAAAATTTGTTTAGATCTTCCTGTAGTTTTGTGGAGTCCTCGTCAGATTTAGTAACACTTCCTATTTTAGTGTCATCAACAAATTTACTTATGTTGCTGTCTATGCCGATATCTATGTCGTTTATGTATATAATAAATAATAACTGGTAAGCGTGACTTGAATTAACCATTTAGGTGCAACAGACCAGCCTGGATTGCTTTTGTCGCAACCAGGCTTCCACACGTGATATTTCCAAGGGGGTAACAAACCTAGGTTAACACACTTAGTCTCGTGTCGATCACGGTCACTGTAGACGGGTGTCGTGCAGGAGAACTCTAAGCGTGAATTGATAAATAAGAAGAGTGTATCAATCGGAGGTGGATGACAAGAGGAAAAAAAAAACAAGAAGGAGTTGGAATAATTGGACCAAGGACGTACTAGAAATAAGATAAATGAATATCCAGAAAGCAGCAGTGTTGGTGAACGAATGAATGGGGAGTATGGCGTCGAGTGATATTTTGGGGGTATAGGACGTGTTGGTGACGGACGTGAAGCTCCTAGGATAAACTTGATTAAGGTCCCTATGGCAAGCGGGTTACACCACTAAGAATAAATGAATGACAACGAATGAAGAAGTAAAATAAATAGTTCCTGTTGCTTTCTTCCTCCTTGTGTCAAATGAGAAAAGGTTTATAGACATAAAAGTAGAGAGAGAGAGAGAAAGAGAGAGAGAGAGAGAGAGAGAGAGAGAGAGAGAGAGAGAGAGATCATATGTTATTTTTGTTTGTATTATTTTACCAAGACTCACACTTTAAAACAGAGAGGCTTCTGATATCGGTGATTGGCTTTTAAATCAATATAGAAATCCCATATAGAACAAACTTGAGTTAGCAGTGAGAGCGTCACGTAAACTTCACTAATAAACTGAGTAATTTTAGCCAATCCGATGCCTCTGGGCAGTACTTCATCTTTGCAGTTAAGTGAGTGGATTCTTTTGTTTTATTTTTCAGTGAACTCAATGACAACAACCTGACAGAGTTGCGTCCAACCATGTTCCTGGGTCTCAAAAATTTGCTAAATCTGTGAGTATTAGTGCACTTTTTTTTAACCGAGGTGTAATGATTTTCATGTTTGAACATATGTTTGGGACTTTGTTCTTCTCTCTCTGTCTTTTTTCTCTTTCAATACCTATATAAATCACTCAAAAAAAGTTAACAACTGACTTTATTTCCCAGATCTATATTTCACAAACAAATTGAGAGTTATTTAGTCTTAGTTTTCAAGTCAGTCTCTCACGGCAATGGTGAAAAACAGAGCAAATGTTTCGCTAATTAATTAATAAAGTCACTATCTCAGTTAAATGGTCAAGGTTATTCCCGTTAAGTTAACCTCAAGAATAAGATCAAATTAATTAAATTTTTCCAGGTTAGTGTCTCGTGAAGTTCATTAAAGTTCTCTTGGATAGGTACATCGAGAGGAACAAGATGGAGTACCTGTTAGAAGAGGTGTTCTGTGAGATGCCCCGCCTTCAGTTCCTGTACCTGGGCACAAACCACCTGCGGACCGTCGCACCTGGCACCTTCATCACCCTCACCTATCTACACCTGCTGTAAGTTACCATACGTGGCAAGGGTCACCATCTGTAGCGAGTGTCACCATCTGTAGCGAGTGTTACCATCTGTAGCGAGTGTCACCATTTGTAGCGAGTGTTACCATCTGTAGCGAGTGTCACCATCTGTAGCGAGTGTTACCATCTGTAGCGAGTGTCACCATCTGTAGCGACCATCTGTAGTTGTTACCATCTGTAGCGAGTGTCACCATCTGTAGCAAGTGTCACCATCTGTAGCGACCATCTGCAGCGAGTGTTACCATCTGTAGTGAGTGTCACCATCTGTAGCGAGTGTTACCATCTGTAGCGAGTTACCATCTGTAGCGAGTGTTACCATCTGTAGCGAGTGTTACCACCATCTGTGAGAGTGTCACCATCTGTAGTGAGTGTTACCATCTGTTACCATCTGTAGCAAGTGTTACCATCTGTAGCAAGTGTCACCATCTGTAGCGAGTGTCACCATCTGTAGCAAGTGTCACCATCTGTAGCGAGTGTCACCATCTGTAGCAAGTGTCACCATCTGTAGTGAGTGTCACCATCTGTAGCGAGTGTTACCATCTGTAGCGAGTGTTACCATCTGTAGCGAGTGTTACCATCTGTAGCGAGTGTCACCATCTGTAGCGAGTGTCACCATCTGTAGCGAGTGTCACCATCTGTAGCGAGTGTTACCACCTGTAGCGAGTGTTACCATCTGTAGCGAGTGTTACTATCTGTTGTAAGCGTCACCATCTGTAGCGAGTGTCACCATCTGTAGCGAGTGTTACCATCTGTAGCGAGTGTTACCATCTGTTGTAAGCGTCACCATCTGTAGAAAGTGTCACCATCTGTAGCGAGTGTTACCATCTGTAGCAAGTGTTACCATCTGTTGTAAGCGTCACCATCTGTAGCGAGTGTTACCATCTGAAGCGAGTGTTACAATCTCTAGTGAGTGTTACCATCTGTAGCAAATGTTACCATCTGTAGCGAGTGTTACCATCTGTAGCGAGTGTTACCATCTGTAGTGAGTGTTACCATCTGTAGCGAGTGTTACCAACTGTAGTGAGTGTTACCATCTGTTGTAAGTGTCACTATCTGTAGAAAGTGTCACCATCTGTAGCGAATGTCACCATCTGTAGCGAGTGTTACCATCTTTTGTAAGTGTCACCATCTTTAGCAAGTTTCACTATTTGTTGTAAGTGTCACCATCTGCTGTAAGTGTCACCATCTGCTGTAAGTGTCACCATCTGCTGTAAGTGTCACCATCTGCTGTAAGTGTCACCATCTGCTGTAAGTGTCACCATCTGCTGTAAGTGTCACCATCTGCTGTCCCACCTCCGAAGTAGTTTACACGTTGATGAAAAAATATATAATATATGTGTGTCATATTTTGCTAATTTTGCACAGTACTGTCGTTATACCATCAGCATTTTATTTTTGTTTATATATACAGTATATATATATATATATATATATATATATATATATATATATATATATATATATATATATATATATATATATATATATATGCTGATAACCACAAGGAAAAAAGAAACACGAAGTTCCCAAGCGCTTTCGTGTAATTCACATCTTCAGGGGTGAGTACAGACTAAGGGGAAGTACAAAACAAGGTGTATATATAGGGGAGGGTGAGATCAGGTCCACAATGGTCAGGTATATATTTATTTATTTATTTATTTATTTATTTATTTATATAATTATATATTTATATTTTAGACCAAAACGAGACATTCTATAACTAATGTAAATAATTAAAATCAAGGTCAAATACAGATTGAGTCTTAATCTATTTCACTAGGACCAAGTGTATTAAAAAAAGCAATTACGACAAACAGGCCGTTTAGCAATCCATCCTACAATGCTATTCGACGCTATGTAATAGGACCATTTATATTATATAAAACTGCACCACAGATATACAGATATATATAATGGTTACCCCTCGTTTAACGAGGATGGCCGGCCCAAGGGCCACCTAGGCGTGAATTTGTTTAAAGTGTTGAAGCTGTCGCTTACGCAACAACTAAACCCTAAGTTAACGAGTTGTATGACCCAAGAAAACCCGACAACTCGCCAACTGCACTGGCGAACTATTACCCAGGAACACGATCCGCAAATCAATTAACATCCAGGTTCCCAATTACTGATGGGTAGACAGAGAAATGCAAAAAATTTCAAAAAGTGTTTTCCCCAAGTCACTGTGACTTAAGAGTATCAGAACTTAACTACAGTTATTAGTGGTGATAGAAAGACACTATCACAAACACGCTCATGATGCAGACTACCCCATAAAACTGGAGCCGTTTTCAGTTGTCACCTCGCAGAGTACGAACATGAAGTGCTGTACAGCAAGAGTCTATGTTACTTCTCCAGCTAACACACTCACTGTGTAGTAACGAGAGGTTAACTGATGTAATGTATTTTTAATATTTTGTGAGGGACTAACCAATTAACTTTATAACCTTAGGTTTCTTTGTTGTTCGTTCGTTTTTTATCACACTTGGTTCTACTGAATTATATAGATTTATGCTGCATCTCCATTTTATCTTAATTTTGATAACCTACATTTTCTGCACGCGCCCTTCTATCATTTTCATTTATTTTAGAATGCCTGAAAATGGAGAAAGTTTCTCCGATACTGTCGCTATCAAATATATCATGATGTTTTACCGAGCGTTGGTTGTACTCTTCATTGTACAGTACGTCTCCACTTCCCAAAGGATACACTTGAAGATTAGACACCCCAACTTACATCACCTGAAGAGTAGACACCCCCAACTTACTTCACCTGAAGGGTAGACAACTCAACTTACTTCACCTGAAGATTAACGCTACCTCCGAGGTATAGGTTAGGTTAGGATCATTAAACTTCAAATGAAATCAACTGAGTTGTCTACCCTTCAGGTGAGGTAAGTTGGGGTGTTTAATTTTCAAGTGAGGTAAGTTGGGGTGTCTAATCTTCGGGTGAAATAAGTCGGGGAGTCTAACCTTCAGATGATATATTTTATTATCAGTTGTGTATTTTCCCGTAGATCCTTGGAGAGGAACCGCCTTACTACACTGCTCAACGGGACCTTCGCTGGTTTGGGCCTCTTGAAGACCATGTTAGTATTAACCTGCATTTATTTTTTTTTTACTGTGGTCGCGTGAATAGTCTGGGTAGTGTTTATGTACAGTCCCCTTCACTAGTGCGTTTACAGGGGCTAGTCAGGTTGTGTGCAGTGTGGCAGCCATGTGTTTGTTTACAATTATACAAAACGAAACTCGCAATAGTAACATACTATAGAATCAAAGTAAAACAATATTAAAACAAATACATCAAAGATAATGATTTGTAGAATCTTTATATGACGAGCGCCTGTAATATTGAAGGGGACTGTACATACAATTGCCCACAGATATATCGTTCCACCCCTCAGTGGCTTTTCCGAACATGTGGCCAACAATATATTTTTTCGGTAATATTTGTACTCGAGATTTGTGCTAACCGATATGATAGACGTAATATCTGTGAAGAAGGTTCCACTATGATTCCGACGATGCCACGTATTCGGAAAGGCTACTGAGAGGTAAAACACTTTACCTATGGGCAACTGTACAAGAACTGTGTAAATACAATATTCATATCGGCTGTAAAAGTTGTGAACAGAAAGAGCTGCCATTTATACTGTACTTTTTCTTTCTTTTTTTTTCCGGGTAATAGCCCACCCGAGCACAGGTCACTGACCCACGTCAGAGCCTGGGGGACGAAAATATAATAATAATAATAATAATAATAATAATAATAATAATAATTAATAATAATAATAATAATAATAATAATAATAATAATAATAATAATAATAATAATAATAATAATAATAATAATAATGATAATAATAATAATGATAATAATAACAATAATAACAATAATAATAATGATAATAATGATAATAATAATAATAATAATAATAATAGTACTCAATAAATAAAAAAATAAACAATAAATCAAGAGTGAGAAACGATATACAGTATGTATGATGTGTTGTCCAAGTAAGAGAAACCCAAAATTTTAATGATGTATAAAACTATTTAGTATCTGGACATTCTTTTTTGTTTAACACTGTAGGCAGCTACCAATCAGGAAGGTACTACCGCCATGGAAGATATTGGAAGTATAATATATTGTCTAATGGTAGACCCTGCTGCCATATGGTATCACGAAAATTTTTACCAAGTCCCAGGTGCTGATATGACTTTCCGCCTCATTTACACACAATTGCAGGGTCTCATTTGTTTCTCTTACTATTCACAACACAACATACATATATTGTTTCTCACTTTTGATTTTTTTTTCATTTTTGTATTTCTGTATTATTATTATTATTATTATTATTATTATTATTATTATTATTATTATTATTTGTATTATTGTTATCATTATTCAATTTGCGCCTCCAGGCCCCGATGTGGGTCAGTGACCTGTGGCCGGGTGGGCTAATCCCCGTAAAAAAATGAATAACTTTGATTTTTTTTTACGGGGAATAACCCACCCCGGCACAGGTCATCATCGACCCACAACGGGGCCTGGAGGGGCTAAAACATAGGAGTGAAAAGAAATTAAAAATAGAAGAGAAAATGATTATATTAATCTATACCACGAAGATGCCAGAAAACAAGCTTTTTGAAGTGAGACAGATTGTAAGAGTATGGAAACACAGAAGACAGAGCATTCCACAGGTTGGCTGTGTGAGGAAAGAAGGATGTACTACAACAGGCTATGCTAGTGTAGTGTGACAGACATCCACAAAGAAACTGTGGGCACCGTGGGTAAGACGAGTGTTACGAGCGTGTATGTCATATTTTTTAAGGTCAAAAGTTCAAAGGTATAAGACACAGCTCGATATAGTTTGTTCTCTGGAGTTTCTTTATATACCAACATGACACAAGCAAATCTTCTACAAAGATTTTGCTATTGTTATTTACTTCCCTCCTGAAGCTGTGATCTAATTACTGTGATATTTGATTAAAGTTAAGGAATCTGATAGCTAATTATATATTAGTATAAAAAATGTATTTCTTGCTGAGGAAAATATACGTTTATTAATAATAATGTGATGAATAGCAAGGAATACATGAAAGTTTATCACAGAGAGCGAGAAAAAAGTCCATTTGCGTGACTGAAGAAGATATAAATATATAAAAAAATTGACGTAAGAAATTTAACATTACTTGGGCTTGTATCATCAGATAGAAACTAAGATTACTATTTTTTTTAGCAAATAAAAAAATATTAAAAAAATGAGGATAATACATTTGTATATAGGAAATAATTAGAAAATGATGATTATTGGAATATGTATTGACACACATTCTTAAGAGTTACTGAAAAGACCAAAGCTCAACAACAGCGTAAAAGAAGTGTCCCTCTGCTGCGTCAGTGTGTGCTACCTGGAGTAGTAGGAGGTGTGGGGGAGGGCGGAGGGAGAGGGGTAATGATACAGTTAAGTTTCATGCAAATCCTTCTACTCCTTCAGAAGCTCTCACCGAGACCAGAAGATGGACAGGGTTAAGGTGCGCGAAATTTCCTGATTTAATCTATGCAAGTGATTTTTATTGGCTGAGATTAGAACAATAATACAATATCGGTTTAATCTGTGCTATTGACTGTAATAAGTTTTAACCAACCTTTGGCTATGCATCAGTCAGCCCAATAGCCACTATACCTGACCTCACTAATGAATATATTTCGTGCATGACTGTTTGTAAATATTTTTTTTAATTTGACATTTAGCCAAAATGTTCAACTTTGAGCCATCCATGTTATAATACATATACATTCATGCATTAAATTCTTGACTGAAGTATTTCGGGAGTGTCATTCGATCAAAAGCAATATTTTTTTAGCGTTAATGGGCTGTGAGCTTACATGCCGGGACTGCCTGTTTGAAGTGACGTTCTGTGTTGTGATATAAAGTATGTGTAAAACGAAAACTAATGTCGGAATGCGCTGTACAAATTTTAAGTTATACTAATGGCGTTCTGCCAACAGTATAACTTAAAAATAAAAATAGTATCGTTCGCAGAATTTATCGAAATATTAAAAGTAATAATGATGGAATAAGATATCGAATAAAGCCAAGCGGTACTGTTCGTGGAGGACATCGAGGAAATGGGAAGTAATAAAGTGATATTGACAGAATATAAAGGAGGAAAAAAGCTTGGCCTATGAGCCGTTTCTCCAAAAATTCTGAGTACCTTTCTCAAAAAAATACACACACACACACACACACACACACACACACACACACACACACATATATATATATATATATATATATATATATATATTGATAAAATCACACGGGAAAAGGGAAACAACGGAGCACCTTAGCTTTCGTCTTTATTCAAGACATCTTCAAAGGCACCTGAATTACATGGACAGAGAGAGGCTTAAGTACACAGGATGACCTTACTAAACATGAGGTCAGGTCATAAACATGACATCCACAATCCGCACACCAAAACCACCACACACGCAAAGGAGCTAAAGAACATAAGAACATAAGAACAAAAGAATGGAGGAAACTGCAGCGGGCCTATTGGCCCATACTGGGCAGTCCCATTTACACCCAACCCCTATTCCTATTGCTCATATATCCATCCAACCTATGTTTGAAGCTATCCAGCGTATTCGAGTTAATGGTGATATTTGGTAACTTGTTCCACTCGTCCACTACTCTATTTCAAACCAATGTTTACCTATCTCACGCCTAAATCTAATTTTGTCTAATTTAAAACCGTTGTTACGAGTTCGTTCCTGGTTGGATAGTTTGAGTACCTTTGATCAGCCCTGACTTCCATTTATACACCTCGATCACGTCGCCCCTCACTCTACGTCTCTTGAGGGAGTACAAATTAAGATGCTTTAACCTGTCTCTGTACTCAAGGTTCCTAATGCCTGGGATTAGTCTTGTCATTCTCCTCTGAATTCTTTCCAAGGATTTTATATCCATTCTGTAATGCAGTGACCAGAATTGAACTGCGTAATCCAAGTGAGGTCTCACAAGCGCAAGATATAGTTTTAAGATGACCTCGCTGGTCTTGTAACTAACACTCCTTTGTATGAACCCAAGTACTTTATTAGCTTTGTTTCGAGCAAATACACATTGTTTACTTGGCTTAAGATTCCTACTTATCATTACTCCTAAATCTCTCTCGCAGTCGGATTTCTCAGTAACATCGTTGTTCATCTGGTATCTGGTTTCCCTGTTTGTATCTCCTTTACTGAGTACTTAACATTTGTCCACACACACACACACACACACACACACACACACACACACACACACACACACACACACACACACATATATATATATATATATATATATATATATATATATATATATATATATATATATATATATATATATATATATATATATATATATATATATATATATATATATATATATATATATATATATATATATATATATATATATATATATATATATATATATATATATATATATATATATATATATATATATATATATATATATATATATATATATATATATATAAGGAATTTATACCAGAAGGTCTGTTACTTTATAAAAGAGGGGGGTTCCTCATTGGTCCGGATAGATATAGATATCTCTATCTAGAATCTAGATAGTATGGCTTCCTTTTTGCTAACTTTACAACTTCAGATTAACCGAACTGTCTCTTGCCTTTATCACCGTCTGGTAAAAATGAATGTCTACTTACTGTAGAAAGAGAGAGAGAGAGAGAAAGGGAGAGAGAGGGAGGGAGAGGGAGGCAGAGAGGGACAGATTGAAGAAGAGCGAGAAGTAGGAGAAAGAATAGAAACAGATAAATAGAGATAGATAATTGAGAGATGTACAAAATGAGAAATGTTTTTTTAAAGTGACACCTAAACCAAGATGCCCTCGTATGGTACGCCTACTACTTGGGATATCGTAGTAGTAGTAATGCCCTAATAATAATACCCTAACTTGTTTTCCTTTAACCCCTACCAATCAATACTGACAGATTTGTGCACGTCCATTCCAGTATCCTACAAGACAACGGGCTGAGGTACATCGAGCCTGGAACCTTCAGTGACCTGGTGTCCGTCGAGTCTATGTGAGTAGATCCACCCAACTCATTTATCAATGTTACTCCTCAAACACGATAGTGGCTGGGGTGAGAATTGTCATATACTAGAAGAAAAAAATCAGAAAGACCTAGAAGGGGGTAATAACAGGGAGATAGAAGGTATGTTAGTAATAAGATGGGAAGACAATAAACCAATACAAATATAATACAAACATATGGAAGAGAGAATAATAATGCAGGGAGGAAAATATATATATATATATATATATATATATATATATATATATATATATATATATATATATATATATATAAAACAGGAGCAAAATAGAAACAGAATAGTATTCTAAAAAACAAGGCGAAGAAAATACTGAACACCGGATTAAAAAAGAAACAAAACATAAAATAAATGAGAAAAGATGAGACAGGAAATAACGTAACGAGAAGTGAAGGACATAGCAAAACCTTAGTAGTGACTTTGGAAGGGGAAGGTAATATTGTTAAACTTGGAGCTTTTTCTAGTAACTGCGTAAGACTGAAAAATCACCCCCACAAGGATTCGGTAAAATCAATGTTAAAACCACATATAAGTTGTATACAATAAACCACGAGTGGGTTGGTGTTCAAATTGCTTCATTTTAATACACGTGTTATGATGAAGATTTTACATGAATGTGAATGTCAATATTTCTGGAGTCACTTAAATAATTTTTACTCTGGCATTTCTAGATATTAGTTTTTAATAGTTTTTAATATTTCATTAATACATTAATATTTCGGTTATGTTTGTCTATATACTAATTTCGTTTTGTTCATTATAGTATATTATTGTTCACCGTTAAAATATCAACATATTATAAATATTTATGCTACATTTGTCATTATTTGTTTGAAATATAAACATCAAAATATATTATTTGGTTAACATTCAAACACTGCGAAATATATTACTCAGTTTAGAAGTAAGTCAATGCGAAATATGCAGTATCACTCAGTTTAGATATGTCAGACGAGGTGAAATATGTCATTCAGATCAAGTATGTACACTTTAAGCACTGGGAGGAAGTAAGGCTATATAAGACCTTAACGATGGCAACGGTGTTATTGACGTTAATAATTATAATGATTATATGGGTAGTAATGATATGAATAATGATATTAATGACATTAAAAATAATATTGATAATAATACAAATGGTATTAAATCACAATATGGTAAAAATTGTAATGTACATAAAACAGAAGATAAGATTGGAGTATTAAGTAATAACACCGATAACCGGGAAATATACAAAGTATGATATATTTCTCAATCCATCAATTAATCAAACAATCAATCAATCAATCAGAGTACTTTTCTCATATCTGACGGTTGGCGACCACAGTCCTCCACATTGAACATTCTTGAGTTGTTTTTACCAATCCTCCAAGGTTTTGTATCTCTCTGGGAACCCAATTTTTAATTTCATTCTCCCATCCCAGTCTCTTCTTTCCCCTGACCATCTTACCCCCAACTTTACCCATTTATATGTCTGTTATTATCCCCTTCATCCCTAATTATATGACTAAAATACTGTCTCATTTATATTATTCAGTACATTTAAAATATTTCTCTTGAAGTTTTTGTTAATCTTAGTACGTCTTCATTTCTTTTCCTATCAGTGTAGCATATTCTTAACATTCGCCTTTAACACCACGTTTCAAAGGCCACCAACCTCTTTCTGGTGTCTGCTGAAAGTGTCCAGGCACCTGACCCATACATCAGTCCTTGCCATATGAAGCCTTTCACGTCTCTTTTCATTAGGTGTTTTAGATTATTAAATGCTGTTTTTGCTTGATCTAATAGTGTTCTGACAATAATAACTCGGAGAGAGAAGATGAAAACAACGTAGAAACAAAAGGCAAATATAATACAAAGAGAGACTAATAACACAAAGATAAAAATACGTACTGTACATATATATAAAACAGGAGCAAAATGAAAACATCAAAATTTAAAAAAAAATGGACGAGAGAAAATAAAAAACACCGGGTTAAAAAAAAACATAATAAAAGAGAATGGATGAGACAGGAAATAAGGTAACGTAGTGGGAAGTGAAGGACATAGCAAAACCTTAGTGACTTCATTATAAAGTGAGTTATATATTTCACATTGTATGAATATTTCAAACGAATGAGCGACCTGCTTATTCATTTAGCCAATGAGACAACAGCACCGAAACATTCAGCCAATGACACAAAGTCACTGGACGGGAACGCTGCCTTGGCCTTCTAAGTTAATGGTAATTGTATAACAATCACAACTGGCCTCCTTCTCTGCTGCCCACTAATGCCTCCATCATCCTGGAACAACACACTAACCGTCCTTCAGGATAAAGCCCATTTCTCAATGGTTGAATACTCCCACATTATTCTTCTATTGGTTGAATTCTGTTTAGTTAATTATTTGGTAGCAAATTTTATTTTCTTGAAAGTCAACATAATTGTATAAGTCGTGTTATTGGGACAAGCTTTTGATTTCCGTTTGGTGCAACAATTCCCTTGATAGGAGCAATTAATTTCCTAGTTCGAGATATCAATTTCCTTGGTGGGAATTATCAATTAGATAACTAAAAAAAATATAGGAATGAATATTGGAACTGAAAAGAAAACAAAAACTAGGGGTGAAGGGAACGTTGCACGGACAAAAACACACTGACGAGGGTAAGGTTAGCTTTGGTTAGGTTAAGTTAGGAAAAGTTAGGTTAGTTTAGCATTAGGTAAAGTTAGGTTTGGTTAACGTTAGGTTAGGTTAAGTTGGGTGATTTTTTGTCCTACGCTCTTAAACTCCTGCTTGTATTCTCTGTACTATAGAAAAATATCATCCACAACTCTCTGATCCACAAAAGAGTTTCCACACTCTCGGAGAACAAAAAATAACTTAATATGAACAAAAGCACATAGGGAACATGCCTGTAGTCCTGCTCTATAGAAACATTTACATTTACTATTACTTGTTTTGTCTTCACTACTAAAATAAATATTTACAGCTTAATGACTTCAAATACAGGTATATAAGTATGACACTAAAACAGGCGTAAAATCATGACACTAAAACAGATATATACAGTAAGTATGATACTAAATAGGTGTATTAGTGTATATAAAGTATTCCTTGTCAGCCAAGAACACAATTTCTCTCATATGTAAACTAATCTTCTTAAAATAATTGACGGGAGTGTTATATCATGGATCAAGGTAAACAATGTATTCCATTTCATTTGCCACAGGAACCTTGAGGGTAATGATTTAGAGGATTGTCCCGAGACTGCTGTGTTTCAAGACATGACCAACCTCGAGTATATGTGAGTATACCCCCATCTTAACGATACAGTTCACAGGTGTGTTTCACAATCTATTTCAAGGTGCATCTCGCTCTGTAATTAAGGGTCATACTTTCTTAGGATCTATTTCAAGACTAATATATGGGACTTTTTCGTGGATTTGTTTCAGGGTCTAATATGAGGGTTATTCTGGATTTATTTCGGGTCTTAATTCATTATCTATTTCAAGCTCTAATTCAGGGTATTTTTTCAGTATTTAATTTTGAGGTGAAAGTCGGTGTGTATTTCGTTATGTATCTCAGGCTTTCAGGGTCTAACTTGAGATCCATTTCAGGATATTTTTCAGAATCAAATGCTGTATATGGTAAAGCAGAATTTTGTTAAGTAGTTTGGCAGAAAGACAGCTGTAATAGGATGGTGTGCCTATAGAGGGTGACTATCGGCATAATTGCCAATATCTATAGCTACACATTGTATATAGAGACAGAGTGCATATATAGGCACAATGCCTTGGGTCCTAGAGGGACATAATGCCAATAGAGTCATAATGCCCATAGAGACATAATGCCTATAGAGACATAATGCCTATAGGGACACAATGCCTATAGAGACAGAGTGCAATATAGGCATAATGCTCATAGAGTCGCTATTTTAACAAGTGACAAAATATATATATTTAAATGCACAAAGGGTTACCAACACCACCACGAGCCGTGAAAAATGGTCCAGATTTTTTTCTTTTCAAAATTTGTTTTCACGTCATCCGAGTTTTCTTTCTTTTTTAGGCTGTATTTAGCAAGGAAAAAATCAAAATAAATACATACATAGGCCTGTCAACCTCACCACAAGCCTTGTTAGGTATTTCAAATTGTTTCGTTATTCCTTTCTATGTTTCGATCTTCATTAGTTGTATTTTTTATTACTGTTATTGTTCTTGTTGACTATCTATTATAAACTCCTCCTATGTTTTAAAAAATGTGTATCATCTTTTGTCACCTTACCGATATGTAGTCAGTTTCCAGCATGTTCATTTACAGTAAGTAAAATAATTTCTCCCATCCGTGTGGTATTCGACAACAGTGTTATTTAGGACAGTTCAAAACCAGACTCCTAGGGGATAGCGATTGTGATAGCGGTTTTCAAGAAGGAAGATAGATCACTATCCTCAAACTACCATCCACTTAGTTTAACATGAAGTATAGGCAAATTACTGGAAGCAAGAATTTAAAACTCAATTTGAAATCATCTCGAGAATCACAAATTGATAAATGATTCCCAACATGGATTCACAAGTGGGCGTTCATGTCTGACAAATCTATTATCATTCTTTTCAACTGTTTTCGAATCAGTGGATGACGGACACGATTATGGTGTAGTTTACCTCGACTTTAGCAAAGCCTTCGACAGGGTCCCCCATGAAAGACTAATGCATAAAGTGGGGGCTCATAGAATTGGAGGAGATACCCTAAATTGGATTAGGGCGTAGTTACAGGGCAGGAAACAGAGAGTCGGTATTAATGGCACTAAATCCGATTGGGAGTACCCAATGCTCAGTACTTGCACCATTACTATTTATTATATACATAAACGACATAGATATAGGCGTAGACAGCAACATAAGTAAATTTGCTGACGACACTAAAATAGGGCGTGTAATTAAAACTGATGATGACTCCGCAACACTACAGGAAGATCTAAAAAAAAAAATCGCATTATCTGAAAAATTGCCGTTGAAGTTTAATGTGGAGAAATGTAAAGTACTTAGCTTTGGGGTTGAAACAGAGAAAAACTACATATCAGATGAACAACGTGGATACAGATAAATTAAACTGTGAGAAAGATTTAGGGGCAATGGTAAGTAAGAATCTTAAACCAAGACAACAATGCGTAATTGCTCGAAACAAGGCTAACGAAGAACTTGGGTTCATACAATGGAGTGTTTGTTACATAACTAGCGAGATTATCCTAAAACTATATCTTGCGCTTGTGAGACCTTACTTGGATTACGCAGTTCAGTTTTGGTAACCATGCTACAGAATGGATATCGAATCCCTAGAAAGCATACAGAGGAGGATGACAAGGCATTAGGAACCTTGAGCAAAGAGACAGGTTAAAGCATCTGAATTTCCACTCCCTTGAGATACGTAGAGTGATGGGTCATATGATTGAGGTGTAAAAGTTGAAGTCAGGGTTGAGCAAAGGTGATATAACAAAGGTACTTAAATTTTCCAACCAGGAACGAACTCGTAGTAATGGTTTTAAATTCGAGAAATTTAGGTTTAGGCACGAGATAGGTTAACACTGGTTTGGAAATAGAATAGTGGATGAGTAGAACAAGTTACCAAACGTCATCTTTAACTCGAACACGCTGGATAGCTTCAAATATGGGTTGGACGGATATATAAGCGATAGGGTTGGGTGTAATCGGGACTGCCCAGTATGGGCCAATAGGCCCGCTACAGTTTCTTCCAGTCTTGTTCTTATGTTATGTACTCCACCACCTTGTAAGCGTTAATGTTTTGATAACGTTGGTTACGAGTATATTTAGGGCATTTTCAGTGAATTATGAACCGATTTTCCTCTTTCAGATATTTCGACGAATTCCAGCTGTGTTCCTTGGCCCTCCACGTCCGAGTATGTGAGCCGAAAGGTGACGGTATCTCTTCTGTGGAACACCTGTTGGATAGTCTGGTACTCAGAGTCAGGTAGGAAAGAAGGGATCACCTGAATATTAGCCCCCTTATATCACCTGATGATCAATTAAACATCCTAACGCTACCTTGGGATTAGAATATGGTAGGTCATATTAGTTTAGGCTAGGATAGGTGCTGTTAGGTTAGGTTTAATTGAATTGAATTGAAACAGTTTATTTAGCCAGAAAAACACAGACACACAGTGGATAATAATAACAATGTTAACATGGCTGAGCCAGTTGAGAGCCAGAGCTCTCTTGTAGGTTAGGCTAGGATAGGCTTAGTTACGGTCTGTAAGGTTAGTATTTTTAATCATAAGGTTAATTAAGCTCGGGGGTTAGTCTTCATGTGATCCAAACGAAAGTTCCTAAACATATTTTCACAACACAAAAAATTCTTGTTAGTGTCCATATGGCGTCCAGGTTAGGTCAAGACAGAGAAATGTAGCGACATATTTTTAAGGTCACTTGTCACTCCATCAATAATATGGCATTCTCGGCCAGTTCAGCAGAACGGAGAAAAGGAAATTTATTCCTTACCTCTGTTTCTTATACCATTTGTCTTGTTTATCTTTCTTGGGTGGTTGTGAGAGTGTGCTTTGCTGTGCATCGCTCCAAGCTGTACAGGATGAACTAATTTATTTGTATATATATACTTTTTTACATCAGGGCCTGGGGGGCGAAAATATAATGATAATAATAATAATAATGATAATAATAATAATAATAATAATAATAATAATAATAATAATAATAATAATAATAATAATAATAATAATAATAATAATAATAATAATAATAATAATAATTAATATTTCCTTATAAGAATAGATAAAAATTATAACCAAAAACTAAAAATAATAATAATAATAACTATAAATAAATACACAAACGAAAAAATAAATCAAGACTGAGAAACGATAACAGCATGATATGTTGTCAATAGTAAGAGAAACAATTGAGACCCTGCAATTGTGTGTAAATGAGGCAGAAAGTCAGATCAGCAACCTGGGACTTGGTCACAATATTTGTGATGCCATATGGCAGCAGGGTCTACCATAGACAACACATTATGCTTCCAATATCTTCCCAGGCGGTAGTACCGCCCTGTTTGGTAGCTGCCAACTACCTACTACCTCCCCCAGGATGGTCATATTTGGCATCAATATATCCCACCCCCTTAAGGATACTAATGGCAAAGTCATGATCCAAGTCACTAACTCACACATTACTCTGTATGGCCCCCCTTGATTCCTCGTCGTTCACTATTAGCTTCTATTGTGTTTAATTTTTCTCTTGAGGTCACTAATATCCTTCCTGACCTCGTGCTATATATTATCCCTACGTGATCCTGAGGGACCACCTGTCAACTTACTGTCTTCCTGACCTGATTAAGACAGCTAGACGGACTGTCAGGCGCTATTAAAAAACACAAGAGCAGGTGTATTTCCAATCTGAACTTAAAACTATATCTTTCCGTCCGATCTCCCACATACCTTACACCCCTCCTACAGCGTGTGGGTGATGGGCGTCTTAGCCTGTGCGGGAAATCTCTTAGTGTTGATCGGTCGCTTCGTGGTGAAGGAGCCCAACAAGGTTCACTCCTTCTACATCAAGAACCTCTCACTCTCCGACCTGCTGATGGGCGTCTATCTTTTCATCATCGCCTCCTACGACGCCTCCTTCAGGGGGTCGTACATCCGCCACGAGTACTCCTGGAGACGTTCGTGGCAGTGCAATCTTTGTGGTGGGTGCCATCAACCACTTGGTATTATCGTTATAACTTTACTACTTAACTGCAGTTACATGAAAGTATAATAAATCACTTTATACTGCAATTAAATTTTCTGTAGTGCAGATGCAAAAGGATTACATAAACAATTTTCTGTATTAATAATAAATTCTTAAGCACAGCTCCATAAAATCAAATAAATCACTTTATTTTTTTTCTTCCCGACAGTTGCATAAAAATATATTAAATCAATTTACTGTACACTATTTTTTTCTAAAGAACAGTTACATAAGGATACAATCAACCCCTTTATATTGTAACTCAGGCATTCTCTTAATTACAGTGACAGTGACAGAGCAGCTAATTATATAACATATTCATCTACGACTGTCGGCAAGACTGAGGCAAAAAAATAGAGCTTCGGTACATGACGAACTTAACCTATGATCTTAGTGGTAGTGTTGTACTGAAGGAAACATAGATGGAGCTTTATTCCTGACGTTGCTGTTGTTGTTAGCTTAATTTACTGGCTGTCAACTGCGTCGGTTATTATGCCCATAGACTTGTTAGCTGGATCGCTTCCTCTTCTTTTACTTGTTCTTCTTTTGAACTTTCCACGAACCTTGTTCTTATCGTTCTTGATCTTGTTCTTCTTGTTCTTTTTCACATTGCTCTTGTTTTTTCTCGTTTTTTTTCTTCTCTCTTGTTTCTTCTTACTTAGAGAAGCGCATCTCTGCAATTGAATTTCTTTGGGCGTTTCCCTTGGCGATCTAATCCTCCATTTGGGACATTCCCGGTCGGAGGACGAGTGTGGACCGCCACAGGCAGCGCATTGGTTGTTTTCTTCACAGTCTTTGCTCTGGTGTCCAGAAGACGCGCACCTGGAGCACACGTCCTCTGGAGTCTTGCACTTCTGTGCTGGGTGTCCGTACTTTTGACACCTGTATAGCATCTTGTAGGTCTTAGTATGTAGGGCTGTAGTGCTTCACTGGGAAGGTGTCCTATCCCAGTGTAACCGTCTCTGGTAGTTTTGGAAAAATCTAACCAGCGTCGAGGTGGATTTCCATCGGGTTTATTCATTTTGCGACCAACAAATACGTTTTCCAGTCGGTCTTGTATTTCGTTCTATCCCAAGTGTTGAGTCTCACCGTGGGAGATAACTCCACACACCGCGTCGTCGACGAGATTGACTTCCACCTTAAAGGGGACGTCATGTAACTTCCTTCATTTGTTCAATCTGTTCCCAGTCACCGAAGGTAATCATAAGGCCACCAGTCGGCCGGCGGACAACCTTAGTAGCCCTATACCTGAAGAAGTAAAAAAAAATTCTACAGGACGAGGAGGTTTAGCTTCTCAGGAGGATAGAAGCTGGGGTATAGAGCCTCACAACATTTACCTGCTCCCAAATAATTCGCATGCTTACTCTGGTTAGGTCTGGTCTCGGAACACACAATTTTGAGTAGTGTGAGGAAATATGTCACAATAAAAAAGATGGGGATATCCTTCCAGCTACACAAGATGCTGGAATAATCCCCCAAACAAACCAATACTTCCGGAAATCTCCACCGACAACACCATGCTAAATTAATATAGCTTAACATAGTTAACCTACCTTGCCGCTAGGGACCTTCAGAGGTTTTTCTTCTTTTTTTAAGGTTAAAGTGGGGAAAGGATGGACGGCATGATAGGGCTCAAGGCACAGCCAGACATGAAGGATAGAGAAGTCACGACAGACAGTCGTGGGGGAAAAGGTTGGAAAAGAAGTTTAATGAGTTAAACAGAGGGGAACGACACCCCTTGCTTTACATATTACAGAGTTTGCTGGCTAACTAAGCTAACCTTGGGTTTAGGATGAGGTTGCACAATGGCTACTTTGGTTGGCAATGATTAGTTTGATTTTACAATTACATGTTTATTAAAATCTTATACTGTAATATGTTATGGACTCACTAGATTGTGACTTGTTAAATGTGATGTTATATCATCTAAGTTTTATCTAAGGTGGATCGTCGTGGCGGACCTAAATGGGTCGAACGTTGAGTTGTTGTAGTGTGGGCAGACTCCGTGACCACCAGGCGTGGGGTCGCCCTCCGTTGATGTCTTCCTCGCGTAGGTAGTCTGGGCTGAGGGTCGTCCAGGAGCTTGTCCTAAACCTTCTTCCCTAGGCGATGGAACCTGACGTTGACGTCCTTTTTTTTATTTCTCAGGTGGGCTGGCTTCCACTGTCTCCTGTTAGGGTGGCGCTTGGCCACTAGCTAACCTCAGACACTTATTTTGGAAGCTTTTTTGTTGTTGTAGTTTCGTCTTCCCGAGTGGGACGTGTGGGTACTCCAACACAGGCCTCACCAGGCATCAGTTTAAAACGTTTTAATTTAGCGGCTGCGATTTTGGTTTTCGTGGGACGTGATGCCCGTCCGAGAAATGATGAGGCCGAGCAACCTGCCTTGTTTAGAGTACTCAATCTCTTCGTCGTCGATCATCAATGGGGCCGACTTGAATTTGGCTATGGGTATGACCTCGAATTTCGTTTTGTTTGTTTTTATCTTCCTTTTATTTTCATACTCCGAGATCTCCTCTATTGCCCGAGCAGTGAGTCGCGCCATCCTTGCTGTGGACCTTCCTGGGCAGGTGACGATCTGTGTTACATCGTCGGCATACATGACATACTCGCTGCCGACGATTGGGGGTGGCAGGTCAGCTGGTGAGAGACAAGAGCCCTGAGGCACGCCACTCGAGAGTGAGAATTCTTCTCCACAATATTCTTGCATCTTGATTTTGGTTCTGCGGTCCGCAATGAAGTTGCACAGCAGGCGCGTCAGGTTTTCGGGTAGCCCCAGTTGCATGATCTAATATTGTAGCCCCGTGTACCAAACCTTGTCAAGCGCCTTGCTGACGTCCCTCGGCACTACCTTTGCACTGCAGGCGGCCAGTTATGGCGTTGGCGATCTGCTCGTACGCCTGGGCTATGGCAGTGGATGTGCCTCGGTACTGGCGGAAGCCGAACTGGCGGGGATTGTGCACGTCTTCGTCCTCCAGATACATCAGCACCCGCCTGTTTACTATTTTTTCGAGGATTTTGGCTGGTACCTCTAGCAGCGATATTGGTCGAAAGTTTTCGACTTTGTTTGGAGGCTTCCCTACTTTTGGTATGAGGAGGATAAGGGCGATTTTGAACATCTTAGGGAAGTATCCAGAGGCGAGACAGGCATTGCATATATGAGCAAGTCTCTCTATCATGTTTTCAGGGAGTTGGACCAGGATATTGCTGTTAATGTGGCTTTGCCCAGGTGATTTGTTTGTAAGCCCTTCTATGATGGATAACACATCTGCAGGAACTATGAGCTCTGTCAGTTAGCTGTCGTCCACCAGTCTAGTGAAGTCAGTCCGTGGGAGCGGCTGGAGCAGGTGCTGATGGTCCTGCAACTGACTTAATATGTCCTCCTCAAACTCCCTGTCAAAGCCCTCGTTCTCCTGTTCACTAATGTTAAAGATATTTCGTAAATATCGTCGATGTAATTGTTCTTGGTTTTCCTCCTCGAATATTTTCTCGTTGTTTTGGTCGAGCAGGTAAGGGACCGTGTGATAGGTGTAACCCATCAGTCGCCTGATCCCCTTCCAGAAGGCTGCAGAGTCGCGGTAGTTGTTGGCTGCCTGCTGTGGCTATGGGAAGGCACAATCTCGTCACCGCAAGGTGGACAGCCAATCCGCTATTAATTTCTTATATTTCCCACTTCCTAACTTTACCTTGCCCTGCCCCTTCCTTGCATCTTCAAGAAAAAAAGAACAATTGTTCATTCCTATGAAAAAATTTTGTGACGAGACGTTCAGAATAAAGCTCCATCTCTTAGGCTACGTCCCAAGTGTGAGAGTCCTGTGGCATCGAGCGATCACGTGAGTGAACGCGCTGCCTTCGTGTAGCGAACAAACATACGTGTTTTCTTTGATGTGTCCCACGTTGACGCGTGAAGTGTTCGCGAGTGACCAGGAAGCGCGAACTAGACGCGCGGACCTGGAAGCAGTGATCAAATATTTTGATCGTCGCTGCCTCAGTCGGGCAAGTTCTCGCATTCTACATCAAAACTAAAGAAGGCTATACTCTCATTTTCCACTGTTAACAACTTGATCTTGTCAAGAAATAGATCCTTGTGGAGTATAAAGTAGTTGCAAAATGCTACTCTTACATTCTTTGCAGAAGAATGTGAAGCATTGTTTATTCTAGAGGGTGCATATGACTTTGCATCCAGTATCTACCTTTGTTTCAATAGCTTTGTTTAAAATTATCCATTTACTTGTACAAATTCCAAATGTACACTCTACAATACGCCTGGCACGTGACAATTAATAATTAAAAATAAATTTTTCCTTGTTCAGAGCATTCCTAGGATAGGGTTTTAACAAATAGTACACAAAGTGGGTAGACCTCGTCCCCAATCAAAAGACATTCTGGTGTACTCGTGAAACTTATTTGGATCTTGGTGAAGTTTCTTGTAGAGATGGTGAAATTCGCCTACTTCCATCTTCCTCTGATACATGGGATGTCTGTTCCTGGGTACCTATGTGATGCGTAGACGGCATGTTAACGCTGGCAGGTGGGACACAGGTCGCTTTGGAAGATACAGTAGGTCGCACGGCTACGCCCTGATAACTCGATGCCGCAGGACACTTGCACATGGTACATAGCCTTAGTCGTATTTCAATCACTCCCATATTACCATTTGTCCACAATGAACATTGTTCTGTGACCTTAGGCTGTGACTTTAGCCATGAGCCATGAGCCTGAGGCTTCCCGCACAGACGCTCAGACCAAGACACTCACATGGACACTCAGACACAGATACCTACACAGACACTCAGACACAGACACCCACACAGACATTCAGATACACACACCAACACACACTCAGACAACCATACAGATTCACACATAGACACCAACACACACACACACTCAGACAGACAGACACAAACTCCATAGCGTGCTTCATCATCATCGTAAAAGCTTTAATCACGTGGTA